GACCGAAGGCTGACCCTCAATAACGATGACACGGTCGGCGAGGTAAGTGGCCATGATGAAATCGTGCTCCACCACAAATCCAGTTTTCTTGGCGTGCAAAATATAGCTGAAATGGGGAGCGATCAGTATTTGCATACCAATTCAAAGTTTCGCCAAAACCTACCGCTTGATAACCTTGGCGGCCACCAGACGCTGCTCCGAATCCAAGTAGGCAGAAGGTTCGTCAATGAGGTAGACATCCGCCGGCTTGCCCAGGCACAAAACCAAGGCCACTCGCTGCAACTCACCACCGGAAAGGTTCTGCACCTCCTGGTCCATGATCTCCTCGATCTTCATGGGCTTCATAACATCGGCAATGAACTGTGGATGCACGTAGGCGTCGCGAATCTTATCGTGCAGCAAATGGCGCACATGGTTCTGGAATTTCGGGGAAATCTTCTGCGGCTTGTACGAGATGTTGAGCATTGGCAGTTCCACCTCGCCATCGGGCTGTAGGTTGCCGGCCAGCATTCGGATGAACGTTGTCTTGCCAGTACCGTTTTCGCCCAGCAAAACCAGGATCTCGGAGTCGCTGAAGTGACCCTTCTCCACCGTCAGCTCGAATTTGCCCAGGGTCTTGACCATGGAGGGATACACGTAGTGGTTCATGCGCTTGATCTCCTCCTCCGTGGCCGATTCGGATACCTTGAAAGTAAGTGACTCGGTGCGGAAACGCATGTTTTCGGTGGGCACAAAGCCATCGAGGAATATGTTGATGCCTTCGCGCACGGAGAAGGGCATAGTGACCACTCCGTAGCAGCCGGGAACTCCGTAAAGACAGCAAATGAAGTCGGATAAGTAATCCAGCACTGACAAATCGTGCTCCACCACGATAATGAACCTGGGAAATGGAATTTATTCTTAATAAGAGGACGACCATTAAATATTTCAACTCACTTGGTGGGATGCAAGAGCGATCGAATGGTCAGGGCAGCGTTGAGACGCTGTTTCACATCCAGATACGAGGACGGCTCGTCGAACATGAAGATGTCCGCATTCTGTATGCACACCATGGCGATGGCGAAGCGCTGCAGCTCTCCACCAGACAGCTGGGCGATCTCACGATCTCGGATATGCGAAAGGTCCAGCATATCACAGATCTTGGTCTGCAGCTCCCGCTCATCCTTCTTGTCCAACAGATCGCCGACAGCGCCGCGCACCGCCTTGGGGATTTGATCCACATACTGCGGCTTGACCAGCGCCTTCAGGTTGTCCTCCAGGATCTTGGTGAAGTAGTTCTGCAGCTCGGAGCCGCGGAAGTAGCTGAGGATCTCCGTCCAGTCGGGCGGATTGGCGTACTTGCCCAGATTGGGTTTCTGCTTGCCGGCGAGGATCTTCAGAGCGGTCGACTTGCCGATACCATTCTGTCCCACCAGGCCGAGCACTTCACCGGGTCGCGGAATGGGCAGACGATGCAGCTTGAAGGAGTTCTTGCTGTACCGATGCGTTGTGTGCTTCTCCAGGTTGCTGGGCAAGTTGATGATTGTGATGGCCTCAAAGGGGCATTTCTGTTGGGAAGCAGAAGAAATAGGTTAATTGGGGCTGGCATAGAACTGGTATAGCTGACCCACCTTGACACAGATACCGCAACCAATGCAGAGCTCCTCGGACAGCGAGGCTATCTTGGACGTGGGCGTCACCTCGATGCAGAGCTTGCCCATGCGCACCACCGGGCAGGTCTTCTTGCACTCCTGCCGACACCGCTTGGGCTTGCACTTGTCATCGCTGACGATGGCAATACGCGTCTGCTTGTCCACCTCCTCGTTCTCCTTTCTGCGCGACATGCTGTTGAAGATTCAAGGGGGAAAGTTAATAGGTATTGGCTTCGTTCTACTAATCAGTCGTCTATATGGTAATGAGTCCACTGTCAACGTTGCAAATCTCCAACCCCGGCCGTCAAAACAAATCTGGTGCAGCGTTTTGTGGGCGGCGGCGGGGTGCGGCGACTGCGTTCGCCTGTGAGTGAAAGTATAACCTCAAAGCGTGGCCAAAACAAGTGCTTTTCAGCGCGAATTTTCATTGTCTGGCACGCGGCTGGGGTGGTTCTTCACTTTCACGTTGACAGAGTGCTAAGTTCCTTGAGTTTTACCTGCGAACTAGGCCGAAATTGTTGTAAAACAGACGGAACGCACGCTCTTGCGTGTCAGCCAACAAGTTTCAAAAGGGGGGAGTTTTGAAGAGTTTTCCAACACTACTGGATGGAGACGGCCGAGCAGGACTATCGATATCAGCTTATACTGTTTGAGGGTTTTGTTTTTTTGGAAATTTTTTCAAAATACTTAATGCTTTCAAAGCATTGCTTTGATAAGTATAGTTCTTATTTGACTATAAGTAACTGAAAAATCATAGTATGCTAAGTTTTAAAAAATCACATACACAGCAAAATCAATTTTTTTATTTAGTATTATAAGTCAAAAAATTATTTATTTTGTATGTATAAATGTTCACAGGATACGATTTAAGAAAAAATTTTAACAAAGCTTTAATCTTTTATAAAGATGGCAAATACATTTTACTACACATAATTATAACAAATTACAAAAGTCAGATCAGAGTAGAGTTTTTCAATCCCGATATATATCGCACGAGAACCGCCCATACTGATATCGATATTTTAGTGTTTCTGACATTCCCAGTTGGTTTGTCATCCCTAATTTTTACACGTCGTTGATTTGTGTCGACTGCTTAAAAAATGGTCGTCCAAGAGGATAATCCGAATAATGGGGACGTCCAGGAGAAGACGGAGAGTGCTCCAGTGGTGGCGGAGCCAGCCAAGATCTTCACGGTGGAGAGTAAGTAGCTAACTGGTCCTCAGCCCGCTGCCAAGTGGCCCAGACGCCCCGCTCCCTTTAACCTAAAAGTCTGTATGCTAATGCACTGAACTTTCACTCCCCCTGCAGTTCTGCACATGATTAAGGATGCCCAGCAGCAGCACGGTCTGCGCCACGGCGATTTTCAGAGGTACCGCGGGTACTGCACCCGCCGCATCCGCCGATTGAGGAAGGCATTGAAGTACCCGCAGGGCGACAAGCGGCACTTCAAGCGACGCGACGTGACCATTGGCCAGCTGACGGGCAAGAAGGCGGACGAGCGCTTCATCCACATCCCCCTGATCAGCGCCGAGCGTGCCTGGGCCTATGCCATGCAGCTGAAGCAGGAGTCGAATACGGAGCCACGAAAGCGCTTCCATCTGATAAGCAAGCTGCGCAGGGCCTGTTTCTATGCCCTCCAGCTGCAGGAGTTGTGCAATGTAAGCTGCAACGCACCAATATGATTAGTTTGAATACAGTTTAATTCATGTTTAACCCCTAGACGGAGGCCTTCGATGCCCGCACCAAGCTTGAGTGCGAGGCCTATGTGGCCTGGATGCATGGAACCCTGCACTTTGAGCTGCAGCTATGGAAATCCGCTGGCGAGCATTTGAAGCGCGCCCAGGTGGTGTACGAGAATCTGGCCAAGGCTCTGCCCGATGACGAACAGGAGCTGTACCGCGCTAAAGTGAACGAGTTCACGCCCAATCTGCGCTATTGCGCCTACAACATCAGCGGTGGTGCCAGTGGCGGTAATATCGATGAGATCCTTGAGCTGCGCGCCCAGGGAGTACTCGAGAATCTGGATGTTCTGGTCAGTCAGACCAAGACAGAGAGCAGCGAGGGCTTGCAGACCATCGACTGGCGCGGTCGCAAGGTCACCGTGCGTCCGGAGAAGGTGCGTCTGTTCCTGCTCAGTGCCCAGGAGTTGGACAAGTCGCTAGCCAAGACCACCAAGCTGGATGCCAAGATTGAGCTGATTGAACGCATTTTGATGGACTGCAAGGACGCCATTCAGGCAGTTCGCGATGAGATCAAGCAGGATCCCAAGCTACGTTCGCTAACCACCGGACAGACCGTATCCGGCGTGCAATATCTATTGGCCTATTTGAGCTACATCCGTCACAGCCGCACACTGCAGCGTAATCTTTGCCTAGTGGAGCAGGTAAGCCCAAAACAAAATTGCCTATAGCTTCATTTACCTATCTTAATTGTCCTGACCAGGCCAAGCTCAACTTTGACGATCCCAACCAGCAGTCTCAGCAAAATGTGGGCGACGGCAAGCGAGTTCGATCTCAGGATCTGGCCCGCCTGTACGAGATCATCCTGCAGAACGTTACGGAAATGCAGCAGATCAATGGCTTGGAGGACGATGCCAAGTACCAGAGCGAGGTGGAGAACCTGGCCGTCACCTTCAAGGCCTTCCGCTGCTATTACATTGCGCTCACACTAATCGACATGAAGAAGTGGAAGGAGGCGGTGGCGCTGTACGAACGCGCATTTAACTACGCCGGCGAGGCCCTAAAGGGCAAGACCAGTCCGGAGTTCCAGCTGCAGGATGAGCTCAAGAAGGTCGTCTCCGCCATCGAGGGCTGCAAGTTCTCCGCACATGCGTATAGTGTGCTGGAGGATGACAACAGTGAAGACGCCGGAACCACCACCAAGTCGCAAAAGACCACGAAACCTCTGTATGAGCGTCTGTCTCTATACAAAGAGGATCAGTCGCTGCACACGAAGTCACCCAATGTGTTTAAGCTAACCCCCGAAATGGAGCCCATACCCTGCAAGCCGCTCTTCTTTGACCTGGCCATGAACTACGTGGAGCTGCCCTCGCTGGAGGACAAACTGGAGTCGCCCGGCAAAAAGGGCCCCTCGATCACCGGCTTCGTCAAGGGATTCCTTGGATGGGGTGGCGGCGGCAACAAGTGAGATTGCCAACAGCCACCACGAAGCACTCTTCTGGAATTCCACACATCCATGTTACACTTGTAAAGCCTTCAGATCCATGTCCACGCAACGGTATGTCCGATGTTCTTTATAAGTTCTTTGTTTTGGCTTTTACCCCCCGCCAGATTTGTTTTTTCTACGAAACTTTTGTAAGTTAAAAACGTGAACAATTATTCGGTAATAAAGGAACCTTTAAGAGAGAGCTATAGTTCCTCAAGGGCAAATCTATAATCTATTTATTTCGAACGTTAGAGTTTATAAGTTAATACTAGCACTACGTGACTATGAATACTCTTAAAAGTTTTGCTTTTGCATTTCGAGATAACCGAGCTCATAAAACTCCATGACCAGCTCCCGGATGCGCAAATGGTACTCGGAAGTGAGCATCTGGGTGCACTTGATCTCCTTTCCAGTGAGATTCTGCTCGCTCATCACGTCCAGATTGGGCAGATTGTCCGGATCGAAGGTGACAGCTGGCAGGATCCACATGCCGATGGCCAGGCCATAGTGCACCTGACGCACATACTCCGTACTGACACGCTGCAAAGAGAAGGCTTCGCACAGCTCCCCTAGTCGCTCAGCAGCGGGTGTATCCTCCAGCTGGTGCCTCAGTTCCTGACCCACAGCTTCGGAGTAGGCGGCCAGCAGGGTATCTGTGTGCACATCCCTCAACTGCCTTCTCGTGCTGGTGTAAATAAAGTGGAGAATGTCAAAAACAGGCGACGACCGGCGCATGGCCTGCAGATCGAAGAAGATCACCTCCTCCGGCTCAGAGCGGAACATTATGTTGTTTACCCAAAGGTCACCATGGCAGATCACACTATTTGGAGCCTCCACAGTGGCATTAATATCTCGCTTCAGGTTTCCAAACAAGTTCGATCGAAGTTCCTCCAGCAGACCAATGGGTGTGGTCAGACTATCGTCTGCATTGGAGCCACTTAGACTCTCCAGGGCCTGCTGCACGGAGGTGTCCAGAATGGCGGCATAAAAGTCCGTCGCCTCATCACAGTAGACAATCTCCTGAAGGTTATTGGCCCGGGAGGCAAAGGACGAGGACTCTAGTTCCTGGGCGGCCAGCGAGGCTGCGTGGAGTTGAGCCAGTTTCTGAAATGATGAGGCATTTGTGAGGAATGACCCATGGGTCAGATGTAATCGCCTTCCACTCACTCACCTTCATCACCAGAAGGCAGTCGTTCAGTTCCAAGCCCGCCAGACGATCCTTCATCCGGAAACCCAAGGCTTTGAGGTCCTGCAGCACGATTATTGGCTCCCCGCCTTCCGAATCCCTGCGATCCTGGCTCTCCGCGATGTGGCACACCGGAAACAGCTGCTGGCGGCTGTGGGCGGTCAAAAGGGGCGCCAAGTGTCGGTAGGCGTTGATCTCGTTGCTGAAGGCCTCCTCGCACCGGTAGAGCTGCCGGCGCGACAGACTCGCAATTTGCCGCTTGACAATTACTGTGACTACACAGGAAAAAATTGTTATTTTCAATAATCATCACAGGTAAAAATTAATGGTTTCTTTGAACAACCTTTTTTATGTTATTATGTGAATATGTTAGTGTTAAATCGAGGTTAATGGTGACTTGCTTACTTAATGGGCACAGTGCAACCCGGATTCAAACCTCACCTCTGTTCAGAGATTTATAAAAAACTTTCACCTACAGAATATTATTTTAATATTTAACTAATTACATTTAAATATATGGTGTAATATGGTATGGATGGTTATAGGCATAGGCCTTAACTCACTTCTTGAGTATTCTTATATTTATTACCCAAAGAACAGTTTTATGTTCCAAATAATATATAATAATAAATATTAGTAAATTATAGGGTTTTTGGTTCCTTATAAAATGTTAAATCATTAACTGGATTTTTTATAATTTTCCCTAATCTTACAGTGTAGGTGGTAAGGGCGGGGAGGGGAAGAAATGCCGACCAAAACAAACTGCGAGAGCGGCGGAGGAGAACAGCTGATTTTTGTTTACGTCGCTGGCAAAGATTTATATTTATGAATGAATTCAATGACCTTGCGTGCGTGAGAGCGGAGTGGTGGTTTTTTTTTTGCTGCCTCTCTCTCTCGCGGCCGTGTGAGTGTGCGTGCTGACCTTTAGCGAATCTATATTACGTATACGCCTGGGTGTATGGGTGCATTGCATTTAGAATGCGTGCAACAAGGTCAACCCACTCGACGCCGCCGCTCAGCGGGGCAAACATCTAAACTTAAATTGGTGCAAATAGGGTTTGAACTATTCTATACCCTATTTACCCTGCAATAGAAACTTCAACACACCAAATCTTGTCTAAAAATAAATTACTATATATTTTAAACTAAAGTTCATATCAAATAATAATATGTACCGAATATTTAGTGGCTTAATAATAACCTAATGTTTTATAAATTATTAAATTCAAGTGTACATTGTTTGAAGTAGTCGAAAATTAACGAATACTTTAAAATAACAAATGTATTTGATAGTGAAAATATTTAATAGATCTTAAAAAATGTATTGTTCAGGATTTTATAGTTCAAATGTTCCTGTTCTTTGCTTTGAGACAAATTTAAAGGTCCAAAGAAAAGTCAGCAAAGGAAACTACCCTTGAAAACAATGCAATGTGAGTACAGGGTATCAACAAGAAAATCAATGAGATGAGTGTAATGGCGCCTGGCGCCTAATCTGTATGAACTGAACTCACCAATTTCACTCCTCCCCTGCTCCTGATTCTGATCCCGATCCCGATCCCGATCCTGGTCCGGCGCCTGGCTGATGGTGACCCGCTTCACCACGGACATGTAGTTGTCGCCGCTGCTGCTGCCCGCGGAGCACGCGATATGGGCAATGCTAAAGGAGACCAGCTGGTTCTGGCTGAACAGTTGGCGCAAATGGTCGGCATTCTCCTCGTATTGATTGCTGGCACTACCATCGTAGCCACCGGCCGGATTCACGGCCATGGCCAAGCCGCCATGCGAAGGTCCTGCTGTTGGGGTCGCTGCCAAAGCCATTTTATCCAACTCACTTGGCTGCCCGATGGGGAATGGGAATGGTTCTTGAGGGAAGGCTGCTGCCAAATCGTTTGCTAGCCGTCGATTTCTGCCGCTGCAGCATTTTCTTTCTAGCACTGACACAAATCCGAATTGAGTCCAGGTCGGTTTTTATTGTATTTTTCCGTAATTATTATACAATTTCCGCTGGCTAAGAAGTGGGCAACACTCTGGTTATAGCACACCTATGCGAAAAGTGTGCAATGTGCGACAGACCAACCGCCCGCCGAACTGCCAAACCTCGACTGGCACTGCAATTGTAATGGAAACTCACTAGAGAGCCCAAATGGCGGCGAGAACCGCCGGAAAATCGGCAATTCTCTCGGTTTCTCTCGCAAGTCGCTCAGTTCTAAAATTGAAAATGCATTCTGAAAGCCGGTAGGAGGTGGCAGGCAGGCTTGACTCTCGTTCAGGGTCACCGCACCGCACTTTCACTCGACTCGCACTCGGACTCGAGTGCGTATACTTAATGCGCCGCCGGGGCAAAGCGGATGTCGCTCATACGCCGCGTCGGCCGAGAGTCGTTTGCATTGGCCCACCAATTCGTGCACTTGAAATTGCATTGGCCGTCCTTGGCAGGCGCTGCGTGTGGGTCGAGGCAATGCGCATAAAAATCAAAGCAAACACATAATAAAAGGGGTTCATTTTTTTAGAGAAACACACAGTGTAGCCTCTGTAACTTGGAATTAGTTATTAGGGGTTTTAATACCTCCATGGAAATTTATGAATTTAGTAAATCAAGTTTAGGTAAAAATAATATGAAAACATAAAATTTTTAATAAAAAAAAAGTTTAATTCCGAAATTTTAAACTTCTTTAATTATATCATCTGCTTTAACAGAAAATCTTGAACTGGGTCTTTCATCTGGAAGTATATATATATACAAATATATACTTTAGGCGACATTTTCCTATTTTTAGAAAAGTCTTAATAGCAATTAAAATCTTTTTAAGCCGCCCTTATAAGATATGATTATTTGATTAATATTTTCTATGGAAAACGGTGCACTAATGTTAATATTAAAATTTTTTTAATACTATTGGTGATCTCTTTTAAGCATCCATTAAAATTGAAATTCATAATTATCTCTACAATTTTTTTAATAGAAATACTCATCTTAAAGCATTTTACTTCCAGCCTCTGAGTTCCCCCGAATTTTCGGTCACGTAGTCGCAGACAAAGCCTAATAAAGTTCAAAGACCAAGCTCATTAACTTTGGCCGCAGCCAACAATGCAGGGGCCAGGCAATTTGTTTATTTAATATGCATCCACAAAGCCGCTAAATGGCCATTAATTAAATATCAAATCCGCCACGGCCAATAAATGAGAGACCACTCCCCGCGACGGAGTTCAAGTCGAAACCCGAACAATGTAAATACCAATCTCAGGCCAAGATACGCACCTGAAAGATCGGGAAAGTTCAAGGCTGCCATCCGGCGGGTGATTATGATTGTGGCAAATATCCAGTGCGGGCAACTCCAGGTAATGCTTCCGCCTTGGCTGATCGGTTGAATAACCCCAGATATTCATACAGACCCCAGCACCCCGACACCCGTAGCAAATTAGGGTCAAACATGTGCAGCCAACGAGCTCGAATTTCAGTCTCCACTGGCTCAGCATTAAATTCAGGGTCAATCGGTACTTTCAAAATCGCACAGAGCTCGGATTGAGTCGGACATGGATTCTAGGCAAACTTGTCAATCATTGTAATCGCAATACTACTTATACAGTGCAAAAAATAAGGCACTAAGAAATATCAGTTTACCAAATTTAAACTACGATTTGAATAGGTACGTAATATCAAGTCAAAGTATTACAAAGCTCATTACCATTACAAAACTTTAGTATCGGTTTTAAAAAATGTAATAAAATAGATTTCCCTAAAATTACTATATACACTATATAGAACTATAGGTCATAATATATATATTGTTATTTCCAACTCAATATTATAGAAAGTGTAACATATTTTCTTATGTATATAGGCTATCGAATTTTCAAATTAACATGTTAAAAATGAAGTGGTATATGAATGGGTTATACCATAGAAGTTGTAAATTTGTTTATGTTATTGAATACTAAGTTTTTCTGAGTTCATATGGTCCACAAATATATCTGTGCGACTTTTGCCATGCGTAACGCTGCCGGCTGGCAGTCCGACCTTTTTTGGGGGGCACTTTTATGGAGCATGAGAAACGGAGACAGATATCATTGCTTTTAATTGCCCGATCTCAGCGCCTAGGCCTAGGTCAGTCTCTACCAGATTCCAGATTGCCAATACACTCCACTCCGCTCCGCTCCATAATTAATTTAATAAAATGTAAAGCAGCCAGCTGAAAAAAACTTGACTCATTCTCGGCGCTCAGAAGCGACTTTGAGCGCGATTCGAGATCGGTTGACTCACAGACTTGAGTTCAACTCGTTTTTGTGGCATTCAACGGCAAGCGAATAAAAGTTCGCCGCCTCGATATTCTATGATCAGTTTACAGTCTCAACTTCACCCAGGCCCAGGTGTTCCAGTTTCGGTTGAAGTGCTTCTCTCCGAGGATTAGCCCCTGAAATACTAAGTCCATATCAAAGTGAGTGTCGTGTGGTGTGAGTGGGTGCTTTGGAGAACCGAAATCCGATTCGGTTGTGTGGGATCGTAACCTTGACTTTGGCTAAATCAAAGTATCAAAATAAACTTGGAATATGTAAATGCATTTAATGGCGCATAGACACATTTAAAATGCAAGCACAGTGGCTGTGATAAATAGAAAACAGAAATAAAGTGTGAATTCCAACCAATGTCACCTTTCCAAGGATTTTTTTCAGAGTGAAAGTTTGAAGTTCATTCAGAAACTATAAAACTATCCATTTTAAACTTCCTAATCTTTTAAAATGACTTAATTATTATGTGAACGTAAGGTTAAAATCACAATAAGACAATTTTCCAAGTGCCTAAAAGTACATTTCCAAATTAAACCTTATGTCTAAACGACCACTGTATCTGTATCTCAAGATTTGATTGCTTTGTTCAGACCAAATTGGAGCACTCTACGCTTGACAATTAAAGCTCGACATTTATTTCGCGGCCAGTCCAATTCTTATCAATAAAAAAGCCAGTTCCAGTTGCAAAAAGTTCACGGATTAGCAAATGTAAGAGTCCGAGCCAAGATCTCCGCGCTGCCCACTCCATTGGCCATATGCGATAATTGATTTTCCCGTACATAATTTATGACGCACGAAACTGACAGCCGACTTGTAGATTAAAAACTGCCACTGACCAGCGGCAATAAATCTGTCCGTATCGCTTTATTAGAACGTTGGACAATAATGCCAGCTCCTGCTCCTTTTCTCTCCTCCTCCTCCTCCAGCAGCCAATCATGCTGACCGCCTGCCAAGTAACGCTGCTCGCTGGATGTCTGGCTCTGGCCACCAGCTCGATTCGGGCCCAGTTCTTCTACCACCAGGCGTTGGGTCTGCCGGCTGCGCACGCTTACCAGCCGGCCAACCCGTACCAGGGATATGCCACTGCTGATGCCCATCCCTCGGTGGTCCGGAATGCCCAGTGGGAGTCTGAACTGCCCGCCGAACTGTCGAAGAGTGCACGATTCTACAGTGATCCCGTGATCGCCGCCAACCTGGCCAAGGAATCGCTGCTGACGAAGAAGGAAATGGCAGTGGTGCATCGCGAGGCTGAGAAAATCCCACGGGAACAGGTCTACAAGCTTTTCAAGAACGCCGGCTACCTGCATCGCAGATAGAAACCACAAAGCTGCATCCGTACTCAGATGAGTTCCGTTTCCCACGTGCCTTGTTGTATTTTAGTTTTTAAATTGTTAATATATATTGTACATACATATTAAATGTTTTCTCTATAAATGACCGCTGGATTATAGTGACTGAAGGGTGATTTTGGTATACAAGTTGGATTAAAATGCTGGAGAAGAGTTCATTGTACATATAACTCGGCTCCGTTTCCAGGAAGTGTGGCAAAGACCACTTCACTAAAGTTGTTGGGCTGATGGCGCTCCAGGAGATGCGTTGGCAGATGGGCGTAGTAGTCCCGCTTCAAAGCCTTTATGTACTCGTCAGCCGCCTCAATGGAATCGCACATGGCCACTATACAACCACCCCAGCTGAAAAAGAACATTGTTCTTAGTTAAAAGAGCGTTATAAAGGGATTTCAAGAATTCTTACCCAGCTCCTGTGACTCGAGCACTGACTTTCTGCTCATTGGATATGGCTATAAGGCGCTCCACATCTGGATGGGAGCATTCGTAGAGCTCCCGCAGACTCTCGTGGGACTGACGCATGAGCTCGCCCAGCTGCTTGGCACCTTCCCTGCTCGGTCCGGCGGCCAGTTCCTCGCAAATCTTCCGGAATTTGGCCACGCGACCGGATTCTGTGAAGCCAAAATAAAGTCATTAACTTGTAAGCTGATCTACCGAATGATAAATATTTTTTTCGCGAATTTAAATTAATAATATATTGTTCAGGCAACAGCTTAATGTCAATGTCTTATTAATTGGCTGTAATTATTCAGTTGGTGATCAATTAATTTTATGCATGTGCACAGTAAGGAACTAAACGTTTTGATTAACGTTCCAGATACTATCTGAAATTCTGACTCTGAAGATGTATCTTACCCTGAATGACATGCAGAGCACGTTGACGCAGCTTGAACTGCTCCATGTGCCGGGTGTTGGCGGAAAGGAACTTGGTCTCCAGTTCCTGCTCGGTGACGCCTAGCTCCTTGCAGATATCTGCTCGCGTGTAGTTCCACTTGGTCAAGTTGTCCTTGATCAACTTCTCGAAGGTCTCGTTGTCCATTTGGCAAGCCTCCTCCAGATCGATGAAGCGTACAATGTCCTCCCAGTTGACTAGACCCTTGTGCTTGGCCAGCCACCGCGTGGCCAATCGGCATTCCACCACTCGCTCATTGTAATCCGAAGAGGCAGCCTTGTTCTTCTGCGCCAGGCTATTGGCCACCACAAAGCACTTGCCCGCTGGCAATGTCACCGGAGTGCCCTTGAGCTTGGGATGGAATTCGATGTGGTGGGCGCATCCTACTCTGCCCAAGTAGGCGATGGCCTGATCCATTCCACCACTGTGGGTTCCAATGTACTGCTCACACTTGGCCGAAATTGAAGCCAACTCCCGGCGGTCTAGTTTCTTGCCCTGGACTTGGGCAGTGGCCAGAACAGCGGAGCTGACCATGGCACTGGAGCTGGAGAGTCCTGCAGCCAGGGGCACATTGCCGTCCACAGCAATACGCATTCCTATGGGCTTCCACTGACTGCCCAGATTCTCCTGAATGCCCTTGATGCCGCACAAGAAGTAGTTGTGCCAGGCTGGACCTCCGCTCTTTGGCAGCTCAATTCTGAAATGAAGGCATGTTCTGTTAGTTAGATTAAAAATGTATTTGGCGTGGAGTATAATTTTAAACCAATTTTAATGTACAAAAGTAAAAGCAAAACAGAAATCAGTTGCACACAAACGTGCCAGGTTGTACTTTCAATACCCAGTGATTAAGGTCTGTAATTATCATGCAGTGAATCACCCACCTGAGCGTTTTCAGGTCCGCATCATAGCCCGGGAACTTGGCCTCCTCCAGATTCCTAAGCTGCAGTTCGCTGTCATCCGGATTTTTGGCCACTGCCAGGAAGATGCTCTGACTGACTGCCATGGGCAGCACCGAGTAGCCGCAGTAGTCCACATGCTCGCCTATGATGTTGACCCTGGGGAGGAGAGATATTATCAGTGGGGAACAATAAGTATACTACCTATAAGGAACACCCACCTGCCTGGCACTCGAACGATAAACTCGGGATCCGCTCCAAATTGCTGCTTAAAAAACGCGACCAGCTGCTGCACACGGTCGTAAATCTTGGACTCCGGCTGAAGCTTCTGTTGGGTTACGATCTCGATGCCGGCTCCCAAAAGCTGAGCGGTTCCATTCCCATTCCTGTTGGCAGTCATGTTCACCTGCAAGCGGGCGAAACCTTAATAACAGACATTATTTTCACAGTCGACGAACCGTAAACGTGTCGCGCAAATGGTTAATCTAAATTTATGGGCAAAAACAAATTTACATACGTAAACAAATAGCCAACAACAACACACCTGTGTTGTGCAAAAAATTAGCTTATCAACCCATCTCACCTTATCAAAATGTCGAAATAGCTATTAGCCCACAAAGTGATGTACTAACATTCCGGTTATCAGTTGGGGAAGCGGCTTTAGAGTCACTAAAACATTAGATTGACGCCAATTTGGCCGCTTAATTGGGAAAAACAAGTGCAAAAGTGCAATTCTGCCGGCAAATGAAAAGGAAGGGCATGTGGGAGCGAGACGGCGATAGCCAACAGCTGTTGTGTGGGAGTTGCCACGTCTGCGAAAGCTTTAACCCTTGAGATGCTCATCTAAGCTTGAGTTTTCAAAATATACTCTTTAAAACCATTCAGACATTTTATATAAGAAAACCCGTGAGAATCAAAGTTTAAACATTTTATAAAACAATTGGGGAGATTAAAATTTTCAATGTTTTTGTTAATACCCTTATTGCAACTGAGAACCATCTTATCTAAACAGTTGTTAATCGTTTTCATTATGTTCACCTTATCTTAAAACCATATAATACATATAAGCCAAATGTATCTTTTATTTGTTTATATACCAATATAAACAAAGATTGGTACTTGGTTAAGACGTTAACGCTTTTGCCGATACATACCCAGCAATGTCTTATCTTTCTCTGTATGAGGTCAAAATAACTTGCAGCTGTTTCTCTCAGGCCTTTCTTATCAAAGAAGAGTTCTAGTTTTCGGTGTGAGCACGTCGCGTTCCATCAAGCAACTGAGCGATCCGGTGCCGTTTCCGTTTTTGTTTAGTCCCGAATACAATGCACAATACAGTGAAACTTGCTTATCAGGAAATCATAGATTTACTCACAATTCGGTCTATAGGTCGGGATTCTAAAAAACTAGAGGATTTCATATCGAGAAGACTCACTGTAAGTGTGTCAGAAAAAACTTGTTAAGAGCTTTATTTGTTTATAAGTAGCTGTCTTTTACCGTTAAATAGGTCAAACATCTTTATAACATACCAACACTTTATTTGCATTCTTAATAACTGGTTATTTAATTTGTTTCGATTTAAAAAGTGGTTTTCGGCATCCACTTAAGGAAAGGCCATTACCTTGGTTATTATTTAGCCATTAGGGTGAAGTACCTGCTGATAAGGTGCAAGTGCAATGCAGTGCTTTCAATAATTGATCATTAGACGAACCTTTTATAGAAGTGATAACTATTAGTAAGTTAAATCATAAACACAATCTTTAATGATTAAATAGTCATCACATTTCTCTATAGCTAATAACAAACATTTTTCTTTTCAAACATGAATATTTGAAAATCACGGATTATATTTTTGCATTTGATAATCATGTTAAAATTGAATTTTGAATTAAGCGTTGCCAGACAATGGCATTGCCAGGAAAAGCTCCTGAAATGGTGGTTAGCCGAGACACCCACCTGATGCCTTGAATGCTTGGATTTTTTAGGTATATTTAAATAAAAAGTGTGGTATAAAAAGTATATTTCATGACGGTATAGTCATTGGAACTATTTTATTTGTTTTGGAAAGGAAAACGGATATTTGCGAGCAACGGCCAATTTAAAATAGCCACTGGCACCTGCACCGTAGGAGCACCACCTGTTGACCCCCTGCGGAGACAATCGAGGCTATGTCCAGTTTACAGCGCACGATGTTGAAGGGCAAGCTGCCACCCACAATTCCTAGCGGGCGCATCGGCCGTGCGTAAGTGCAGGAAAATCGAATGGGGACGGGAATGGGGAGTACGCAGTCTCTAACCAATTTGGCTAATTGCAGGGACTCGTTCAAGAAGTCGCGCATCCGCGACTACAAGCCGGGCATGTGGAACGAGTTCTTCGCGGAGAAAGAGGACGTCACGGTGGATGAGCAGCGAACCTTCCGCATCTACCGCACCAAACAGCCGGAGAAGCCGGGTCCAGTGCTCCTCCTGCTCCACGGCGGCGGATACTCAGCCCTCACTTGGGCGCACTTTTGCGTGAGTCTCCTACTGCTTTGGCATAGAAATCTTTATTAACTTATCCTATAATCCCCACCAAAGTCGGAGGTGACCAGCATGATCCACTGCCAGTGCCTGTGCATCGATTTGCGAGGACATGGCGACAGCAAGGTGGACGACGAGGATGATCTCTCCGCGGACACGCTGGCCAAGTGAGTTGGTTCCCTTCGAAATATGTATCAAGGGAAACGAGAATATCACAATTTAAAACCCCATTAATAGGTTTTGTTACTACATTAAAAAAAATCTAGATTCGAGAAGATATATCACCTAACGTTTATGTTTTCAAGAATATGTTTCCTTTCATTTCCTACATTTAGGAAGATTACAAAATGATCAGAGGACTATTATATTTCATACATATGTACCTTCAGAAGGGAAAGCCTTATGCAGTTGCTTTGAAAATAATTTAATTGCAAATTGAATTTGAAGTTTAGTTAACATACCTAACCGATCAAGAAAATTTGCATAATCTCTTTGTTTATAAAAATAGCGCATGAACATTTTAATGAGGTCGTTCTATACGATTTTAGAATGTTTTGGCTAAATGAGTTTATTGATTAGTCAGATTTGGTGCGTTTCATTTCCAGTGTTTTAAATAGAATTTAATAGTTCGACATAAGAATAATCTTTGGGTCAAAGAAATATGTAATAATTTTGGGTAAATGAAATAAATGTTGTTATTTTAGATACTGTTAAAGTACTACTATTCGTATTAATTTCAAAATATTTTTTACCTAGGGACATTGGAGACCTAATCTTGAAGCTGTATCCTGAGGAGGTGCCGCAGCTCTTCGTGGTTGGCCACTCGATGGGCGGAGCAATCGCCGTCCACTTCGCCCACATGTCTTTGGTTCCAAATTTAATCGGCATAACCGTCATCGATGTTGTGGAGGGCACTGCCATGGAGGCATTGGCCAGCATGCAGAGCTTTCTGCGCTCCCGTCCAAAGTATTTCCAGAGTATTCCGAATGCCATTGAGTGGTGCATCCGGAGCGGCCAGGTGCGCAACGTGGACAGCGCCAAAGTGTCCATGCCCGGGCAGATAATCAAGTGAGTAAGCCTTTCCAAATGCTTTTTACAAAAGGAGTAACCTTTTAATACCTTCCAGCTGTACAACGAACAAACTGGCAACGAATGACCTGCCACTACCCGATGAAGTGCTGGAGGAGGCTCACCACAACAGTATGTTTCCCAATCCGTTTAGCATTTCGGAGGATGAAGAGTCGTCGCCGCCGGGCGATGATGCCGCCGATGGCACAGGAGAAAGTGGAGCAGCTGGCGCGGATTTCAAGAAGCCCATCACGACCAAGTCAATGACCGAAGCGGCCAAGAAGTACATAAAAAACTAATCTGAGTTAAGAAAATATTTTATTATTGTTGTATTCCTCCAGTTACACCTGGCGCATTGATCTGTCCAAGTCGGAGAAGTACTGGGTGGGCTGGTTCTCGGGCCTGAGCGATAAGTTCCTCAACTTGCGCCTGCCCAAGCAGCTGCTTCTCGCCAGCATCGATGGACTGGACCGCACTCTGACGGTTGGCCAGATGCAGGGCCGCTTCCAGATGCAGGTTCTGGCCAGATGCGGACACGCCGTGCACGAGGACCGTCCGCACGAGGTGGCCGAGGTGATAAGCGGCTATTTGATCCGGAATCGCTTTGCGGAGGCGGCTAGTGAGTTCCGTTGCCACATGCCGTCGTGCTAAACAAAACCACCCCTTCGAATCCAAGGTTGAGCACAAGCTGAGGTCACAAAAGTCTATTTTTGAATGGAGGAGCATAACTCTTTGAACTTACAGATGCGTGCATATATATACAAAATGTAGTGCGTAGGTCCAGATATATATATAGCCGTATATTCTCTATACACATATACTTATAATCCAGTAATTTATTCGGTACTTTTAATTAAATCCTATGAATTTTTAACATTGTACTTTATACTCATTTTGCCAAAATTTCAAGTCAAAAGTGCTAGCGTTTGGGCTTCTTACATTGTTATAATGAGTGTGTATTAAATATGTGCCAGATCAAAAGAAAATTTAACGAAATCGAAATTATACGAATGCAAATAAGTTGAATAAAGCTATTTATTAATCGAGTGTTAACACAAATTCCCACAAAATTCGAATGAATCTTGGCTTTTAATGCTCGTCTCAAGGAACCCGTAAAACTTGAATAACAGAACAACACACTTAGTCCACAAAACGGAAGCCACCATCGGACTTCATCTTCATCTTGGATTCCAGCGCCTGGATGCGACGCAATCGCTCGGCAATCTGCTCGCGGATCTCCGGACGATACTTCTTGCCCTGGCCCATGGATTCCATTTCTGTCAGCCATTCGGCCCGCTCGTTGATTTGGTCCAATACTGAAAAACCCCAGAACCTTATCTATTTGCCTTTGGATTCCAGTATATTATCAACATACGCTCATTGATGAGGTCCTCCTCCGTCACTAGTTGCTCCTCGCGTGGACGACGTCGCGGCTTGATGGCCGGGTCCGGCAGATGAGTACCGGCCATAGTGAACTGAAGTTGGGACTTGGCCTTCTCCCCGGCCATTCGGTTGTCGGCAGGCGGACGGTAATAACTCAGCTTGTAAGCTCCGCTCGCCTCAATTTGGCGGAGATTCTTGCGCTTGGCATTGCGCGCACGCTCCAAAATGGCCAGTGTCTCCCTGTCCACATCGTTTTTGGTGTTTGGACGCGGCGGCTCAGGAAGCGGCAATGGCTCCCCGTTACGCAGGCTCTCATCGATCTGTTTGCGAACCATCATAGACATCTTTGACTCTTTGACAAGCACTAAGAGGGAGGTTTTCAAAAAACAGGAATCGTAATCGGTAAGGAGGATTTAACATTTAAGTAAGAACCCTTACAAGCTACTCTAAACTCCTTTAGGAAAAGGCATTTGAAAATCATGCTATCGGTTTTTTTTAAGGCAAAAAGGATGAAACTTTTTGTAGAGTTCTAAAATAAAAAACCCAAAAAACATTTTTAGACATAAAAGATTAGAAATGCATTGTAATTGTAAAAGCCATTTCCAAATTTAACCAACTCTAAAAGACTGTTTATCCTTTCGGGAAAATTCTAAGGTATAACATCTCAGAATTGTGCGTAATTGGTCAAACCCTGTCCAAAACTTACATCGTATCAGATCCGCTGTCTCTTTGCTATACTCAACCTTGGCGGAGTGGAATGCTCCAGAGCCGCCCGGGGCAATGCGTTCGCTGGGCCACATGGGCATCTTCTGGGTAGTGGGCTGGCCGCCATCCGCTTCTGGTTCTCGATGGGCCATCAGACCCCCGGGAAGCGCCTTGACCTGGACGTTGTTAAACCGATGTCGGCTCATTCTGTAAATCTAGTAATTTTTGATCCGGAAAAGTACAACTCGTTTATATGGAAAATCGCTTCTACAATTTCGTGTGGCGTGTTTGAAGGCTGACCTCGGTGTGAAGTTGTTTTACGCCGGACAACAAAAGTGGAGACGCATGGCAACCTGGGTTGTTAGGCAAACAGCATGGGAATTTTTAATTCTCGAAATAATTTATTGAAAATAAATATATGTAGGTATTGTATGTGTGTATATGTGTGGGTAGGTACACGCTTGGTTTATGCTCGCATTCTGATAAACTTGCGAACATCTAACTGACTTATGCACATTCGTCTACGAGTAGTTGCACTTTACATTAAACCATTTAATTTGTTGATCGTTTTGAACTCGCTAAAGTTTGACAATTAGGTTTCGATTAATTCTGTATCCCAACTGGCCGTACAATAGGTTTTTTTTTATTAATAAATAAAAGCATCAGCGATTTACAGTGCTGCGGTTGTTGTTAACAAAAGTATTTTGGAAATATCGACAACAAATTGAAAAACAAAAACATTTCTAAGCAATATTTACTCATGCGTTTGTTCGGTTTTATACAATTATAATTATACTACACGTTTTTACGCTCTTATGGTAGCTATTTTTTGGCTGCCTTTTCTTTTCAGCTCCGCTCCCGTCGTCATCGTTTGTTTTTGAACCTAAGCTTATAATGCGACCGACATACATTCGTATATATAAATATATATATAATTTTTTTAAAAACAACTAAAACATAACATATCGAGTGATTGGCTTGCCATTTTACATGATAAACAATTGACTAAAGCAAACATAATAGTAATAGTAGCGTTAGGCTAGTCAATGACAATGATGATTATGTATTCGTTATGCAATACAAGGTTTTGGCTTACGCATACGCTTACTTATACAAAATACAATATGTGGTTCCGATTCTCAAACACAAACAGTGAAACATTGAAACTCTTCCCGGTGAAAGTTTAGTCTAGTGGTTGTTTCCGCTGTGTTGCGATCTCCTCTGGTGCAGTTACGGTTCAGCAAATATGTTCCTTTTAATTTAAAATAAATTATGTGTACGTGTATATATAAACATATCCATTATGTGACTACTACTTCATTCAGCAAGCCTAGTTTTGATTCGTGCAAACAATTCTCAGCTCTCAGCTCTCGTTTCTTGTTTCTCAATTCTCACTTTTCAATTCCCTATCCATCCAGCTTTCTTCTTTCTAGTTTTTATAGTTGCGAAAAGTAATCTTAGTCAGTCTCATGGTCACGATGCAGAGTTCATTTTATAATTTTTACTAGATAAACCTTTTTCGTCGTCGTTTAGCGGGGTATTTCCATCATTTGGCGACGTTGTTGTTGTTGATGGTGATATAGTCGATGGTGTGATTAGGATTAGAATAGCGTAAAGTGTTGATCAAATTTGGCCAAATTTTCCTACATAGAGAGAGGTTACTGTATTGTGTGTTTGCGATTTGTTTTTGTTTTGGGACTGGCTTGGCATGTTAGTTTAACTACATAAATGGCGACAACATTTACGAAACCTAGACATTAATAACATTGATAGCGAGATGCCACGCCCCCGCTGACAGCTGACTTGGGTTATTCCTTCGGCGATTGCTGCATGGGCCAAGCAAGTCCAACGGCCAGCCGTTGCACCTGCGAGCCCAGCCAGCTGATCATATCGTTGGGGACGTTTTGGCACACAATTAATAAACTTAACATTAAAACAAACTACCGGCTTACTAACTAAAAACGATTACAAAACGGGTGTGAAGGGGACGCAGGGTGGACAACTAGACGCGACACAAACATAGATACGACAAATCTTACAAAGCTAAATATAAAAACATTTACGTTCGTTTATGAAATCAAACTTCAAACGCGGTTCAAAGCTAAGTGAACACAAAAACTGCTGGCAGCCACAAATCTAACGTCTTGACAATCCAATCCCTCAGACAGCTCAGAACATTGCTCAGTTCATTGCCTGTTCAGTCATTTGGCGGCACAACGTCTCTAGCTGTTCCAGGCTCTTAAAGTCATTCATCTTGTACTCGGTGACATGGGGCGACATGCCCAGATTGACCAGCGGCGGCTGGGACAGGCAATGATCCACGGCATGGTTGTTGTTCTTACTGCTTTGGTGACAGAGATTGTGGACACAGGCACCACCGGTTACGCCACCACCATTGGAGCACAGACAGCTGCCACTGCCCACGGCGGCGGCAGCTGCTGCCAACAGTTGCAGCTGTTGTTGATTAATCAAATTGTTGTTCAGCATGCTGTTGTTGTTGTTGTTGTTATTGATCAGGATCTGCGGCTGATCGTGCTGCTCCTGACTGGGATTCGGATTACTAACCATCACTACAGCGGCCATGGTCTTCTTTGGTTGTAGCTCCCCACTTGACACTCCTCCGCTGAGCTTCCTCTGCTGCTGCTGCTGTTGATTGCGCTCCACCACCAGGTTGTCGTTGGAACCATTGTTGGTAAGTACACCCTGGCCGGGCTTGAAGATCAGTTGCTGCGGTTGCTGTGGACCACCGGCCACAAGGATGAGATTGTTCAGCGACCGGCGATGCGACTGTGGCGGTGTCTGCTGCGGCAACGCCGGAAAGTGGTTGTGCTGCTGCAGCATTTGTTGCATCTGCTGGGCATGATGATGCGACTTGCCGGGCGGCGGCGGTGGCGGCTGCTGTTGGGGATTGCCCATGAAGCTGGGGTACGAGGAGCTCTTGTACTGCGGCTGATGAGATGGACCGCCGCCGTAGCCGTTGTAGTCAAACTGCGGCAGGGGCGGAGGTGGCTGCTGCTGCGAATGATGGGGCAGCGGATGCTGCAGGCAATTCAGCGAAAAGTTCAGCATGTCGTTGGAGTTCTTGCGGTTGTTAATCCTATCGTTGCTGCCGTTCTTTGTATCGCACTTGCGAGTCTTGCCATTCCATCTATTGAAACGATATAACCGAAAATTACTTAACTGAATAAAATAGTTATGAGTTTTATAAAACTTACCTTGGCTTGTTAATGTTGCCATTGTTTGGCCCCACTCCGGCTGGCTTAACGTGATGCATCTTCGGTACCATGGAGATCTTCATCTTGGACAGCTTAAACTTCAGGTCCTTGAGTTGGTTGGCATGGTTCATGAATGCCTCGTTATGAATAGAGCGGTCCAGAATCCACATAAAAACTCCCAGAGTCTCATCGTCCTGTGCAGCATACGGATCCTGCTGTAATGTGTTGCTCACAATGTCGATGACCTTAAGGAAGCGCAGACCAATGTTCTCCTCCGGCGGCCCAAGGGACTCCAGAGGCTTCATCGGTGTCAACACAATGTTGGTCAATTCCTCCACGGCAGTGCTAAGCTTCATTTGACCAGATAATAACTCTTGCTCCACCCGGTTGAGTATGTGGGCCCGCTCCTTTAGCTTATCGATGCAGAGAGCCAGCTTGTGAGACGCGCCTTTGGTGACGCCAACGCTCTGCAGGAAGTCCTCAGTGATCAACAGCATCTCCTCGTACGTCATGTTCTTGAACAACTCGATGTACTTGTGCAAACGCAGGGACTTCAGCCAAAGGCCGATTCCCGACATGCCCACGTTGCGGGTGTGGAACTTAATATAGTTGGGCTTGAACTCGTCCAGACGCGTATCGGACCCACTATTGATCAGGGCACCGCGCTGATGCTCAATGGATAAGGAGAAGCTGCGCGGCTTGTTGGCGAATTGGGCCAGATTCTCCGTGGAATTGGAGCAGTTGTCATTGACCGTGATCACCGAGGAGTTAGAAGAACTGGAGCAGCTCGAGATCGTTTGCGTGGTGAGGCTGTTGGAGCGACGCGTCTTTAGGGCCGCAATCTTACTATCCAGGCTCCAGCGGTTGATCTCGCCAAACTGATCCCCCACATTTCCCATAAGGATCGATGCATAGGGCGGAGGTTGGAGCAACTGCTGCTGGAGATGCGGCGGAGGCTGTAACCGTTCCTCTACGGAGTTTCCACCAGTTCGTCCACAAAGACTACTGCTGGCCAGGCTGCAGGCCTCACCCATATCGGCCGTTACCGGGTCGAAGTCGAGTATCTCAGTGCCATTCTTGCTGAATGACGTGTCATGGTCGTCGCCACCACCGATTCCCAGCATAGAGCCCGCTCCGGCGACCACACCGTTGACCAGCGAAGAGCTGCCCTCCAGCGACAGGCCGAGGCTATTCTGACTAGAAGCTAATTCGTTCAGGGTAATACCATTTAGATTATCACAGAGTGGATTGATCGACCCGCTGGAGCTGCCTCCTCCGCTGCCACGCCAATCACCGGCCAACTTGTTCTGCAGCTGTTTGCTGGGCGGGGCGATCGTCTGCCAGTCGTTGGTGCGCGAGGATCGATTGCCGCTGGCGGGGCACAGCGAGGATGAGGCCACCGACGAACAGGAGGCTGTCGAGGAGCTAGTCGCCGAAGAGGAACAGCTACCACTGCCTGTAGAGCTGCCGCCAGCGACCAGTTGCGGCGAGGGCTGCAGGAAATAACTGCGATTAGTCAGGCCCGCCGCCGCCGCCTGGATATGATCCTCCAGGTGACGCAGCCAAACGTTCAGAGATCGCCGGTCCTCGCTGGTGATCGCCGGATGAATGAGTAGGTACGAAAAGATCTGCTGCACTAGCTCCGTGGGCACAATCTGCTGCATGGTGTCCTTGACGGCCACTGGGATGAGGGTCAGGTAGATAAGTTTGGCCTCCTCGTTGCCCGGCTTAAGCAGTGGCAGCATGTTTAGCACCTCGTGCAGAATATCTTCCTTGCGGGCGTACAGCTTCCGCTCGTCACACTGCGCCGAGGTGGTGATCTGGAAATCGCTGCCGTAGCACGGCATCGAATCCTTGTCAGATGAGGAGGAGGACATGGCGTCGAGCAGGTCGCATGGCTGGAACGTCTTGTAGGCGTTTAGCAGGTTCTGCAGGTACACCGGATTGTTGGCATTGATGTCGATCACCACGCTGCTCAGATTCGTCTGCGAGGTGCCCAGGTTCTGGGTCAGGTTGCTGTCGATCGAATACTGGAGAAACTTGAGGCTCGGGTAGCGCAGCCGCTTGAGCAGCGCGTACATCACGACGGTCCGCTCGCAGTCGTTCCAATTCTCGAAGAGATTTGTCACTGTGGTCACCTGCTCGCAGAACAGCGCGTTGGACGGCTGACTCTGGTTGGGATTGGCGTTAGGATTGGAATTGCTATTGGCGTGTACCGCCGTCGTCGTGGCTGTGGATGAGGCCTCCTTGTGGACTGCAGTAGGCGTGGATGTGGTGGGCTGCATCTCGTGGGATGCACTGTTACAGGTATTGGATTGGCCGCTGATGCCGGAGGTCATCGCGTTGTCAGTTCCAGTGGCGTTTGCGTACTTCATCTCGTTGTTAGTTTGCTTCTTGTTTTTGGGGTATTGTGTCTATTATAATGTATGGTATTGTAATTGTAACGGCTCTTTGTGGTTATTTGGTTGCGTTTCCTGTAATTAGAAAGAAAAGGGAGAGGGTTACAATGGGTTATATACAATAACTTTTTTAAGGTTACCTTTGATGTTTTATCTTAGAAATGTAATTTTTATTCGGTTAACTTACGAAAGGCCCTATCAATTTAAATTCGGGATAAAAAAGATCCTGAGAGTTACATTTTATGAAAAATACCCTAAAAGCTAAGATCACCTTCAAAGGAAAATACCGCCAGTTCTGAACCACGTGATCGAATCAATCACTTCTCTTATTTTCCTCGAAATTGTCGCCATTGCTCCACTCGGGATTAGAGTGCCGAGCGGCGATAATAGAATAAACTTTAAGCCGCAAATAACGTTCGAATTTAATCAAATCAGTTTTCGCTAATTTGTTAAATTTACAAGCTCGGAGACAGCAGCGCGGTAGCAACAACAATTATCTGTAATTGGCGATTGGAAATTAGCATTTGCATGGTCCGTCGATCGGGCCGACTGACTGGCTTATCAGGAAAGCAAATAAACAACAAATATATAACACCTTCGATTCGCTTCGATGGCGCGAGTGACGAGCGACGATAAATCAATAAAATAACAAACATTTCAAATACGAAATCGTTAATTTCGACTTTGGATTTGGGTTTGGGTTTCCATTTCGATTTCCGGGCGGATAGAAAGAAGAAGAATTACCAGAAGGGGGAAGAGTGGGGGCGAGAAGTTTGGTTAGGTTTTTTGCACAGTTTCGCACTTTTCATTTAGTTTCGTTTGCCATTGCTTGTGTGTGCCCATTTCGAATCTTGTTTCTTCTGCCGCCGTTGCTTTGTTGTTGTTGTTGTTGCTTTTGCTCTGGCGACTTTCTTCGATTTTTTCCCGTGTTTCTACTGCTATACAGTAGGCACTCGAAAACTACAATTTAAACTATATCGAGATGTAATGCGAAATATATTTACTTTAACGTCCAGATAAAAATTATAAACAAAATTCTAGGCAGTTTACATGTATACAAATATGATGTATTTTTAATATCAAGAATTCCAGTTGATGTAATCGAGTGCCCACTGTAATTTAAACCAGAGGCAATGTAACGGCCCCTGTGTTGGTGCCCCTGCGTATGTATGTGTGTGTGGGCAAGCACTAAAACATAACGGGCCCCAATTACTGCATTAAAAGCACAGCTACTGCTTTGGAATTTACCGATGTTTACTTTTTTACTGTTTAACGTTTTAAATTAAATTTCACATTTTTTGTCGTTTATAGCGACTGAGCGCAAAGAGATACGTTTAGCGCGCCTCGATCTAACGGTACTTGTGCATGCCCGGGTCGATCTTTGAGGTTATGCGTCACTGCTGCATTTTGCAGTTATTTTCCAACCGGCTTGCAAAAAATTCCCAAAGTTCAACAAACGCTGTTGGAAAGTTCACGAACACACAAACAAACAGGATACTGGAAACGGAAACTCACACGTTCTTTTATTTGAATTTTCCTGCCCTTTCAGCAGTCGCGATCGCAAGCGTTTGGCATATTCCTAACGTTTATTTACGTTACGAATAAATAAGATGATTGTTAATCTGCAGTTCTTGCAGATGCGAGACACACAGAAAAGAAGAATTGTTTTATTCCAAGAAGCTTGGCTGAAGACGAGAATGAAGACTGCTGCGGCTGCACTGGAAGATGATGCAGTGGGGAGCACCGCGGAGGAGGAGCGGCTGATGGCGAATGATTGGCGCTGGCGTCAGCGTTTTAGAAAGAAAATGGTGGAGCTGCCTTTGGGCAGCAGCAGCAGCGGCGGCAGAGGAGGGAGAGCGAAACGGGCGGAAAGGAGAAGGAGCGCGCGCCTTTTTTTTCTGACAGCCCAAAAGGAACGGAACGATGATGCTGCTGCTGCTGCTGCTGGCTGTCAAGAAAATGGGGAGAGCACTCACACACACATGCGGAGACCTTGCTGCGCTGCGGTAGTGGTAGTGCCAGTGAGAGTGACACACTGAGCAATGCACGGGCGAAATTGCGGCAAATTACATGAGAGAGCAGCGCATTACAGGGCATTTGGAACGCCCTCTCCGTCTTGCTCAACCACCCCCCCTTTCAATTGTTTTCATTTGCACTCGCTTTCCGTTTTGCCGTCTTTTTCTTGCAGAGGCGTAGGGGGGCTGGGTTCCTGGGGCACGGGGGGTTTGTTGTTTTCACCACATAGCACACACACCAAAGATTGGCCCCCAAAATCACGCCCCACCCACCCAGCAGCCACGGTCGGCCAGACAACAAAAATATATAGCTACACTGCGCTTGTGCCAAAATCGTTCTATTTTTCAATTACCTTTTCGCCTTCTATTCGCCTGCTGCAAACCTTGAAATTATTTTCTGTTGCAATTCACAGTTTTGATCCGATCAGCACGGGAATCGAGCATATTTCGCTAATTTGATATGCTATCGCTTGGGATTCGATCGGATCGGATCGCATCGCGCATTTATTAATTTATAATTTTCACCTTTGCTCGCGCCCGCTTGTGTGTGTGAGCGAACGTGTGTGTGTGTGTACTTTTTATTAGCACTTTTGGGCTTTAGCTTTGTTGCTTTTGCTAAACCATAACTTATTTTTTAGCCACACACTACCAGTCGCGTACGCTCAACGTGTTTTCACAAACGCCCGATTACGGAGTACTGCACTCGGCTGCTGCTGTTGCACTTGGTTGGATGCATGTTTTCGCCAGCTATTCCATTTTTTCAGCAATTAATTAACTATTTATTCACGCGATTCGCAGCGTTGCTAGAGCTGGAACAAAAACAACTATAACGCTTGTTCTTCCTTATATACCGAAACACCGAACGGTCACGCTAAAAAATACTAGCAAGATAAACTATCGAATAGGTTGATTTATCGGTATTTTCGATGAGTGTTCGATACAGTCGATGTTTGCGTTCAGTCATCGACTATTTTCACCTGGAAATGGAACCCTGGGTTCGGATATTCGCTAGCCGAGACACAATCCACTGATTTAGCTAAAAAATAGCCAAACGCTAGGAGAATCTGAATTATTACAACTATTATTATTAGTTACTGTCTGGATTATAAGTAAATATATAATTAAATTTGATTCTGAAATTAACCAAGTTGATTTTTCAATTTATGTTGTATAATTTTTTTACGCGTTAAATTATTTATAATAACATTTGGCGCCAAAAATCAGGATTTAAATTTTTAGTTCTTTGAAAAATATCGATATATTGATATATTTTACTCCTCCTAGCAGAAGGATAGACGGCCACACTGCGAAACCAATTGGAGTAAAATAAAAGGATCATTTTTGTATATTCGCTGGATTTACGATGCAGAAAAAGTCCAGCGATGCACTGAATCAATGCCCAGGGACAGCGCGCAGCTCGAGGAAGTGATTGCAGCGAGGAAAACGAACTGGAACAGCGACAATCCCAACGAAAACCCGCCCACAGCAACAACAATATATCATCAAAATACCATCAACCTGCTGCAGTGAGAAATGTTTGCCCAAACCCAGAAAACCAGCTTCCTGGAGCAGACGAAGGCGGCGCGTGAGGAGCGGGCACTGGAGAAGCGCCGCGAGCAGGCAGCCATCCTGCTGCAGTCCACGCTCAAGGGATACGCGGCGCGCAGGAAGTACCAGAAGCGGATCATGTAAGTGCCCACCAACATTCTAAGGTCATTTTCACTGAAAACCCCTCTTACAGCCTCGACTTCGATGCCATATTCACCGAGAGTCAGGACGACAAGGATGCAGAACTGGAGCTCCTGGCCATCAATGTGTATCCGGTGCTCCGTCGTTATCTCACCCAAATCAAGCTGGACAAGAGCGATGTCCGTTCGCGGGAGCGTCTGGAGCGCATCTGTCGCTACATTATCAAGGCCATGGAGGCGGAGAACACCAAGCTATCCTACGCCGCCCTCTGCTTGTTCAAGGAACGCAGCCTGCCGTGGATCGCGCACATAAAAATACTGCTCACCAACTGCCTGATATTGCTGCCACAGCTCAAACCGGAGAATCATGCTGACAGCTTGTCCCTTGCCCTCTTTCTGCACACACTGGTGGTCTTCACGGCGCCCAAATCCTGGGCTATACTCAGGAATGCCCAGTTTGAGAAGCTGCAGCCGGCCATGCAGAAGATCTGCTGCAACATCCAAGGCCATCTGGTGCAGAACGACTTCTACAGGACCATGCGGGTAAGTTCGGTGGCTTTTTTTAGTGCAATATGGTTAAAATGTACTCATCCCATTCCAATTTCTAGCTCGTTTTGCTGCGCGGCACTGTGCGCGAGGAGTTGTCCGTGAAGCCAGTCACCCTGGTGGCCATTATAACGCTCTGCCTGCGTCCCCTGATAGATGGCAACTTTAGTCGCAACCTATTGACCAAGTTTTTGTCGGAGATTCTGTCTGTGCCCGCCCTGATCTACCACCTGCACCAGAGTGTGCCGCAGTGCCTGGAGCAATTCTCTTCTTTGGGGCTGCTGAAGAAGGCTTTGAGTATCTCCGGTGACTTGCAGTGGTTCGAGGAGTTCGGCGCTAGCATGCCGGGCACCAAGTCCCTGGCGTTCCTCGGAAACATAGTAAATTTGTTCAACATTGATGGCCAAGGGGAGTCCAAGGAGTTGGCCTATCCACTACTGACTGTGAGTTGTGCAAAATCGGTTACTTAGTGGCTACTGTATACCCAAATTCTTTCAGGAAACTACTACATCGCTGCTGGAGTTAATACCCAATACGGTTACCACCAAGGGAGTCTTCACCCAGTGGCACGAGCTCCTGGGCTGGCATACTCCAGGTCCAGAGCCCGCCCAGAATCAGAATGTGGCTCTGATCAAGAAACAGTTTCACATGCTGTGGGATCATCGCTGTATTAAGCTGTTGCTGGGAGATCTGTTGAAGGAAATCAATCTTAACTACGAGCGCATCGAGTTCCAGCCGCCTCAGCAGCCATCCACATCAAATCTGTTGCGTCGTGCCTTGGAGCGCAGCTCCACTAGGGGAGTCAATCTAATGGGAGTGGCGAATTCCAAGCAGGCCAAGCAGCAGTGTCGCAAGCTGGACAACGCGGATGTGGTGCAGGTGTCCCGTATCTGTGGCATGTACTATGCCGCTCTCAACACACTCTCCCAAATGAAACTGGACATCCTCACGGGCATCTGTTACAACGACAATGTGCTATATGATATTTGGTTGCTAATCACGTCCCTGGGACCCAACTGTGGCATGAAGGAGTATCTGGAGCTGCTCAAGTCGGAGACTAACCTGCAGAAGCCGCAGACAGCCATGTTGATGCTGTTTTGCGACTGCATGACGCACTACGTCACGTATGTTGATTATATTTACCATTTTTTTTTCGCTATTGAAAATAATATTTCTCTACAGGATTCTCGATGAGTATGAAATGTACACGGAGCAGAATCCCTTTAAGCTAAACGATTATGTGATGCTGACCTACTTCCTTAACAACATTCTCTATAAACTCATTAACGATAATCTTCTGGGTAAGTTATTTTATCTGGTTACTTTATTTTAGTAACTATGAAAAGTTAAATTGTTGAATCAGATATGAAGACTACTAGCTTATAAGCTTGTTTTAGAGCAAGGGTTATATTATAGGATAGGAGGTGTTTATAACTATAATTACTTGACATATAACACAATTAACATAACATATAACTACAATTAAATGACAATTAATTGTAAAATCAATCTTCCAATCTCCAGCAGGCAAAAACATTGTCCAGAATCCGGTTTTCATCTCGCTGCACACTCTAATGCTCTGCTTGTACCGCCGCGACTGCCGTCGCCCCTTCACGCCACCTAACCACTGGCTCATACCGGAGGTAAAGCCCTCCACGTTCATAAACGATCTGGAGAAGGCCAAGCGGAACGCCATGCTGCTGTTGGCCAAGATGCCGCACATCATACCGCACGATGATCGGGTCAAGCTCTTCCGCAAGTTCGTGCAGAATGAGAAGGCAGTGATGGGTCTGACGGAGAGTGCCTGCGCCTCGCCTCGCTCAGCCCTGATTGTGATCCATCGCGAGCGAATCGTGGAGGATGGCTATAGGCAACTTGCCGCCCAGCCCACTCAAGCTCTGAAAGGTGTTATCCGGGTGCGGTTCATCAACCAACAAGGACTGCACGAGGCAGGCATTGACCAGGATGGAGTGTTCAAAGAGTTCCTGGAGGAGACCATCAAAAAGGTGTTCGACCCGTCACTAAATCTTTTCAAGACCACTTCGGATCAGCGGCTATATCCCTCACCCATCTCCTACGTCCAGGACAATCATCTGCAGCTCTTCGAGTTCGTCGGCCGCATGCTGGGCAAGGCGGTGTACGAGGGCATCGTGGTGGACGTGCCGTTCGCCTCCTTCTTCCTGTCCCAGCTGCTCGGCCAGACGCAGCAGGCTCTCTACTCCTGCATGGATGAGCTGCCCTCGTTGGACAACGAGTTGTATCGCAGTCTTACCTTCATCAAACACTATAAGCAAGATGTGGCCGATCTGAACCTTACCTTTTCCGTGGACCAGGATGTGATGGGAAAAATTGTCACTCATGAATTGCATCCGGGTGGCAAGGCGCGGGTGGTCAATGACCACAACAAGTTGGTCTACATCCACTACATGGCCTTTTTCCACATGAACACCCAGATCCGCGAGCAGACGATAGCCTTCAATCGTGGCTTCCGCAGCATTGTCAATCCAGAATGGTTATCTCTGTTCTCACCTCCGGAATTGCAGCGACTTATTTCTGGCGACACGGTGCCTTTGGACTTAAAGGATCTGCGAAAGCATACACAGTATTATGGAGGATTTCACGATTCCCATCGCGTGGTGGGCTGGCTGTGGGACATCCTGGCCAAGGATTTCACAGAAGATGAGCGAAAGCTGTTCTTAAAGGTAAGGTGTTAATTACTTTATGCAAGTTAATGGTTTACTAAATACAAAAAAATCTCTTCAGTTCGTTACCAGCTGCTCGAAGCCTCCACTTTTGGGTTTCGCCCACCTGGAGCCGCCCTTCTCCATTCGTTGTGTGGAAGTGGGCGATGACGAGGATACGGGGGACACGATCGGAAGTGTGATCCGAGGTTTCTTCACTATACGCAAAAAGGATCCGCTCAACCGGCTGCCCACCTCTTCCACATGCTTCAACCTGCTGAAGCTGCCCAATTACCAAAAGAAGTCCACGCTGCGGGACAAACTTCGCTACGCCGTGAGCAGCAACACTGGATTCGAGCTGTCCTAAAGAAGCTTCTTCCTACTTTATTCACATTTTGTATGTTATTCCTTTTTTAAGCATTCTTTCGTAGGCAATTCGGTGTAAATGTATTTTTATGTTTTTGTGGCCGCATCACAAACGGATTGAGAAACATATTTAATGAATCTTAAACACAATTATTAACAAATAAATATAAACGTATAGCTGTGATAAAACTATAATAAACTAACGAAGAGTACACAACAAATACCAAGCTGAATTACGAGTACTAAAACGAACAATCCATTTTGGTAGCCGATGATAAAAGAGAAAATGTCTAGTAAATAATGCAAACGATTGTGGCATGGCACACAACAAATATCTAACCCACGTACGGTGTAAGCCAAAAGTTACATATATGTAAACCACGAAAAAACCAGAAACAATAAATCTTATGTGTCTGATTCATGTGCAAAATGTAAGCCTGCTTTATCAGATTTATCTTGCGTAAGGTAGCCTAAGCGCGTTCCCAAAGATAACAAACATGCAATTAGTGAACGCTGCTCAGAATTTCCCCGGGTTTTTCCAGCCCAAAAACTGAATGAAAATGGAAATGAAGCCGGACACGAGTGGCGAGCAGCGCGAGCGCTAATGACACAAATCCGTCTGGACGGGGCCTGCCATCCTGAACTCCTCAACTTCTTTCCTCCGCTAATTGCCTGAGTCACACTCGAGGGTCGTCGGGTCAGGGGCACTTAGACGGTCCGGAATAAGCGGAAATATGGCAAGGAGTTTATGCAAAGCTAGTCGAGTTACGAATTACCGGAAATTGCATATCTGGCTGACTAATGACCGGAGACGGGTAATGGAAATGCGAGCAGGGATTAGGTAAGATCCTTAAAAACCCAGATATCCCCAGTAAAAATACGATCAAGATCAAAAACAGAAGGTCAATTTTGAAGGTATCTTATGTTACGATAAAAACTATTTTAAACAAAATCATTATGAGCGATATTCAAAAAATTCAAAAAATATCTTTATTTTTAACTTTTGTTCAGAAGTACTCATTATTTTTGTGTTTTATAAATATTTATCATTAGTAATCATTACTTGTATTAATTTAATACTAGTATTATATATTTTTTAACCTTATAAGTAATATTATTAAAAATGAGTGTTTAAGATATAAGATACTATCTCTGCATTAAATCAGCATCACCGGAGGTAACCTGATACTTTTCTCCTGGTCATCGATCGTTAAGGATCTTTATGGGTTCCGTTCCGGTTCCCATTTTCGTACCCCCAAGCGATGTCCTTTTGCGGTTTTGTCGGCCCGCTTTTGTCTCCAACATTTAGGCGGCCAGACAATAGCAAACAAATTGTAGAGCAGACCCACAAACAGGCAATAATCATAACAATAATTTTGAAAACTACAGAGACACAAACAGTCGGCGGTCGTCGCACAGCCAGGCCATAAAACTCGGATCCTCGATGCTCTGGCTCTGGCTTTTGTTCCCAGCGATGAGGAGGCAGCATCTCGGGGACAAAGTGTGATGATTTTTATGACTCGCCTGTGAATTTGTGCCGCCACCGTCGCCTTGGCAGCCGAAAAAACAGGACAAGTGGCAACAAGTGACTGATCCGTTAGACGTATCCCTATCCCTATCCTTATGCCTATCCCTATTCCTAGCCCAACCCATCCCACTTCGATGTTCAAGTGGCTCGAAGGCGACAGTGGCTTGGCGCCAGTTTGATTTGATGGCCTTCCCCGGCTGCCGCAATTTGTTGTGGCCCAGCATCAAGTACAAGTACCATTTAAAGGTTTGATTAGCCGACTTATCACGGGGCGGATCTCTTTCTAGAGACCCTCCGTTGCAAACGGTAGCGGCGAGATTTGGTTGCATCTACAAGATGCAAGGCCGATTGCAGATAAGTTAAATGCTCTGGAACAGATGGGCGCTGATCATGACAGCGAGATATATCCAGGGGATATCAAAGGTTTGACACTCAAGAGCGCTTTCAAAAAGACCGATGATCAAAATGTTTAATATTTCTTAAGGTACTTCAGAAATGCGGTATTTAATATAATGGATAACTGTTGGAAGGTTTTCTAAAATTTTCAAGAATTCAAAAGGTTTTGTAGAATCTGAAATCTTAAGAATATCTATCAAGTGATAAAGGTTTTGGTTCGTAAATTTGGGATCATACTTTTAAAAATTCTTGGGAGCTTCCTTTAGATAGATTTTACTTTTAATATTTAAGTTTAGTACAAGTTAAAAATAACACTATATAAAGTCGTGTTTCTCAGCTTGAAACATAATTTTATTATAGCAAATTTAAACTATTTAGTATAGTCGTAAAACCAAGACGAGTAGACAAATTTAATTTAAACTGATAGTTAACAAAAAGATTGAAAAGTAATTTAGAAATCGAGCTCTAAAAAATCTGTTATTAAAATTTACAAATAGGTACGTATACTTTTGAAACATTTAACTTTTTAAAATACACCATGTTACTAATACGTATCTGATAAGTAGATTCTTTAAGTGGTATGTTCCAAATTCCTCCACCACATTTCTTTAAGTTTTCCTCGTGCTCACAGAATTACAGCATCCCATTTTAGAAGAACGTAATCTCGCCGAACATTATTGGTTGGCCCATATCCAAAACGTTTTCCAGTTCCATAAATATTACAAGCGATTAGGCGACTTCAAAGAGCGCTTCCCCAATTCTCCCCAGAAAACCCATTCAAAATGCCCTTCCCCTTTCCATATAATAATGCTATCAGCAGCAAGATGGGTGCCGTGCCCCCAGTTTCCGCGGGAGGAGGTCACCAGAACCCGAACCCCCTCCAAGACGTTACGAAAATGGCGTTCCATCTGGCGGAGCGAGTGAGAGCGGGATGGCATACCACTCGCTGATAAGCAACCAATGGCAGGGAGATATATACATGGAGATATATGTAGAGGGAGTGGAAGCGAGAGAGCGGGTGAGTAAGCCACTTGAGCATGAGAACAGGTCGGGCGACTCGACTACCTGAGGATCGGTTCGGATCGGCGGAGCAGAGAGAGAGGGAGGAACCCAACCGACCGGATTCTGGCAGAATCGAAGTAGTGCCCGCTCTGGGACTCCGAGAGACAGTCTCAATCTGGATAGCAAAGCGATCAGTTCGTGTTCCAGTCGTCGCTTTAATAGATTTCGATATACTACGGAATAATATCACCAGCAATAAAAAGAAGATCATATCATATCGCCACAACAAAAACCCCAACATGTTGACCTTGCCCAACATCGCCGATCTGCGCCTGCAGCAGCAGATCGCCCAGGAGATATACCGCCATCAGATTATGCAACGATTACCCGGTAAGTGGAGCAATCCCACCTGCCATTTGCCGTCGGCTAATGGATCGTATTTTTTTAACAGATCCCCTGTGCGGACTACTGCCCAATTTCGCCGGACACTTTGTGCCCCCGCCGCCACCACCGCAACCCACATTGCCCGGAGATGTGGAGGCCAAGCTGGAGAACAACGATCTGTGGCAACAGTTCCACAGCATCGGCACCGAGATGATCATCACCAAGTGCGGCAGGTTGGTACCATTTAACTATTTGCTCGCCCCCATCAGCTAATCTCCCGCTGATAAGCTTTTTGTGTAATCACTCGGTCTTTTGCTGGAAACGTGTCACTAACATCCATTAACTATTGTCTCTGTCCTCTTCAGACGCATGTTTCCATCCATGAGGGTTTCCCTTAGCGGATTGGAGGAGGAGGCCAGCTATTGCGTGCTCCTCGAGATGGTGCCCATCGGCGACTGTCGCTACAAGTTCTCCGGATCCCAGTGGGTTCCGGCCGGAGGAGCTGAGCCACAGAGTCCTCAACGGATGTATCTGCATCCGGAGAGTCCAGCCACCGGAAAGCACTGGCAATCCCAAGCCCTGCTCTTCAGCAAGGTGAAACTGACTAACAACACACTGGATAATAATGGACATGTAAGCTTTAACCACTCTTATATGAAAAACGCTTTCAACTGACCCATTTTCATGAATATTCAAACAATGTAAAATGTGATCTTAAAAGATAATATTGATAACTTGATAAATTTGAGATTGTTTGTTCATGATATTTGAGTTGACTTGAGAAAAATTTAAAAATATCTCATATTTTGTCTTTAAAAAATAGTTCTCAAGAGCTTTTTAACTTATCCAATATCCTCTTCCTTTTTTAGATCGTCCTCGCCAGCATGCACAAATATCAGCCGCGTCTGCATGTCATACGTACCTCTGATCTCGGCCAGATTCCCTGGGCCCCCCAGCAGGCCTTTGTGTTCCCGGAGACGGAGTTTATAGCCGTTACGGCTTATCAGGTGTGTACTGCTATATCTCAGTCTACATACCAGATCTGATAACTAATCCCCGTGTTTGAATTGCAGAATGACCGCATAACCAAGCTGAAGATCGACAACAATCCCTTTGCCAAGGGATTCCGTGAGTCGGGTCAGTCGAGATGCAAACGGAAGATCAATGACTCGCCACCGCCATCGCAGGCCGAGGTAACCCAGGTGGATGCCAGTCCGATGGCATCGCCGTTAGCTAAACGGTTGCGACTGGTGGAGGAAATTCCTCAGCATCATCAGAGTCATCAGAATGTTCCGATGATGCAGCGTCACTATCTGCTGGATACTCTGGAGGCTAATTTCTATTTGCCAGCGCCACCGCCGCCGCCGGCCATCGACTATGCCAGGCACATCGGAGGATATCCAAGTTGGGCCTACACCCCGCCATCGCCGGCCTCCTCCGTCTCCTCCTCGTCAGCGGGCTCCACCAGCGGCGAGTCCGCTGCCGAGCGAGAGGCTGATGCCGACACCTTTGTGGATGTGGTTGGTACTGCTCCTCCTCCTCCACCACCTCCTGCTGTTCCTGCTTCAGCTTCAGCTCCAGTTCCAGCTACCTCTCCCAGCGATCCAATGCCCAAGCCGAAACGCAGCAGCTTCAGCATCTCGGACATATTAGGAACCAGCTCGTCCATTTAAACCAAGTCCAGTCGGGTGCATGTGCTCCCATTTGGGCCTGAAATCGGTGCCTTGTACATTTAATTAGCGTTTAGTTGCCATCGTCTGCGTAGTGTCTAAGCTGAATTGTGATATTTTGCAGTTAATTAGGATTTCCAGGTATTTGCCATCAGTATTTATCGTATTTATTATGCAATTTTAATTGTTCACATGATTTCGTAATGGATTTATTGTCTTTGGCATTTTCAATGCGGCATAAATAAAATAGTTGTATACATATGTACATATATCCAATGAATTCGATGGAGTTATTTCTGGGTTAAACAATGCGGGGAATGTGGATCAATTAGATGAGGCAGATGAGAAAAGGAGCTCCCAAAGCGGAGATATGTATAAATTCCCCAATAACTTCCCATGACTGCGCTTCGAATCCTGTTCCAGCAATTTGTGTTGCATGCTTCCATTTGCCTGTCGTCGCCGAATACATAATTTGGATTTGGCTTTGGCTTTGGTTTCGGTTTCATATCTCCCGCATGCGAGGCATAAAAACCTGTTCCTCCAGACCCCATCCCACCCCCTTCTTCCCCACCTCCTTGTGAACCTCCCTTCTAAGAGCAGAATAACCCACCGGCAACATCGGCAAACAACAACATCGGCAGCAGCAACATGGACATGAGCTTATCAGCAGATCAGAGCGAGCCGCATCTTAAACGCTGGCGCCGGCGCCAAGTTAAATGCGCTGATTGAGCGCCACGATCGCCGGCAATCCTAGCGAGCAGTCCAATTCGAGTCCCCGGTATCCAATACCCAATGCCCAGTCTCGTGTAATTGATGTTTTCACATTGTAGTTGTTAGCGAAACTGTGGCCATTTACATGCAATTGTCCGGGTGTCCCATCACACATCTCCATGCTATCGAGCGGAAACGTGGCGGCTCCTTTGATGGGACCAGTCCACCAGTCGCAAGTGTTGCCCCCAAAGAGAGCCGGCTAGATGATTGGCCAAATGGGCAATCTTCGACGGTGGCATTCGCTTCAGTTCGCGTTAAGAAACAATTGTTAAGAGCCAGGACCCCAATATTCCAACCGATACCCACACACGTAGCTGCAACCTGTTTTTCGGCCCATTCATGTTGCCGCTGGAAGTGTTTATGGGCTCCACATTAGCCACACTGCATATTCATGTTAAACGTCGCCAAAAGACTAACGACAACGTTTGGCCCATTGTGTTGTTGTTGCTGCTGCCGATGATGCTGCTGCTGCTGCTGTTGTTGTTGCCTTTACCTTTACCTGAAATTTATTGAATTCTCATTTGGGGGCATCCGCTGGATGGGCCCAGGAGAGAGTCCATGTTTTGGGGCCGGAGCAAAGCAAACGTTCGCATGTCACCGGCAAATGAGCCCCGACCCGGGCTCGCTCGGCGATCGCCAGCCCAGATAAGCCATCCCCTCCAGCGGGCATGTGTAATTTCCTTGGAAATTAATGTTGCGGCGGCCAAAATCAAAGTCACGGGCAACATTTTTCGCTGGCGACAATTTTATCGGCAGCACAATGAAATCATTTGGAGCCCGCGACGACGTTCCCATTCAACGCTGGCGATATTATGTCTTTGCCGGAGCTTGACAGTCGCATATGTTTGGCGCTCTAATTGCTTTGGTAGTTCCCAGTCCTTTATTGCAGCAGGATAACAGCTAACATAATCAATGTCAAATCGGGCAGCTCGATTGAGGATCGTAGAGGATAGAGGATAGAGGATAGTAGAGTATCAATCGTGGTGATGAAATAATAGTAGTTGAGTGTTGACCGTGATGGTGGAATAATAGTTGAGTAACGTCTAGTAGATGCGATCGCCAGTACGCATGTTGGGTCGGCGGTGCCAGTGGTTGGGATTCTTCATCTCAACCAATCGGGTCAAATCAAAGCCAGCCGGTACTGTAATAGGCGCCTTGGCTCCCTTCATCAGGGGCGATACCTTTGGAGCTGGATGCACAGACACACTCGGGAAGGGAGACACATACTCCTCCTCCACGGACTTGACACTCTTCGGAGGAGCCTTAAGGATCTGGAACATAAATTGAAGATAAGGATTAGTATATGGATATACATTTTGGGTTAACTCTTCAAAATGTCATTAGAATTTGGTTTGGAAATATTTAATAGTTCTTCGTCAACTGGATTTTTGTCGATCGATTTGCAAATTACTTGCTTAAAGGAGCTGAGCTTCATAAGAGCAGACCTTAAATTTAAATTAAATATTGTTTTACTTATGTGATAAGCTTAACTAAATAATAATATAAGGATATAAATAGAATTCGATCAAAATCTATAAAAACTTATACTTAAATCAAAAAATATGAACCATTAGAAAACTAGAACCTACTTTTGATGGCTCCAATTCCTTGATAGCCTCCGAATTGATGTCACTTTTCTTTTTGGAAGAATCCTTTTCAAAGTAGGCCTCCAGGGCCACGGAAAACTCCTGCAGGCGAGAAGTCTTGGGCTGGCTGGGTTTCTGTTGCGAACCCACCCAAATCTCGGTGAAGGCGTACTTTTGCAAGGCCTCCGTTTGGCGGTTGCTGGTCAGGTGCTCCTTCAGCACCGATGCCGGTTGGTCTAGACTGAAGAGTTCCTTGCTGGGCACCTGATTCGAGGCGAGTTGTGGCACCTCCCTGGGGCAACAGAACACGGGAGCCGGCTTCTCCTGACTTACGGGCGAGATGTTAAACTTTTTTGGTGTCTTGAAACGACCCGTCACCTGGGTGGCCTTGCCGGTGGAGATGCCATCGCAGGCGGATGAATCACTGGAATGGACCTCCAAGTCGAGCGACTTTGGCTTCAAAATTACCCCCGAAAAGGTCGGCCCAGGAGACAGACCATCGGCCTGGGCCAACTGCCCGTGTTCCTCGATCTGTGGATGAGGATTATCTTAGCACTATGTGCTGCATGGAAACCATATTCCACTTGCCGTAGTCACCACATTCTCCATCGAAGTCTCATGCTCCGATCCTGACTCAAAGTCCGCGGCGCTGTCGCAGTCGCTCTCCGAGAAAGAGAGGCTCAGGTCCTCCCAGGACGGCTCGCTCTGGTTGAAGGAGTGGAAGGAGTCATTGTCCTCCGAGTCCGAGTCACTATTATTCACAAGAATGCTCATTTCGCTTTTATTTTCTCGTAATTTGCTTAGATTGTAAATTGTTTTTTATCCGAATGGCGCAATAGTCAAAATGACAACTACCAGGGCTGCCAAGCTGATCACTTGGCAGAAAAGAAAAGGCCTATCTACACGACGTAATATTTTATTATCGTTTTTGTTCTTAGCGTTAAAATTAAGAAATAGCAAATAATAACAATAATATATATTATATATAATAAATGTTTTTCTTTAAAAAAATTATAGTAGAATTGCCAAAATTGTGTGACTTTGTAGATATTGCCTTGTTTTCTTTGGTGAAATAGTGTAGTCAAGTGAAGATTCCGCGGCACTTAACAACTCTGCCAGCGCTTCACATTAAATGGCGCGAAGTAATTTGAATTTGATTTTGTGGTTTGTCTTCGAGGACAACACAAGTATGCAAATAGATGGACTGAGACAATGCTGCTGCATTTTGCACTCAATAGAGTTGTAAACAAAGCGAGGACAATGCGAAGGATACCTCTGTAAGGGATATGCGTACTTGACGACGGCCATTGTGCTCCGGTTTTGATTGTTCCACTGCAAGTACTTTCCAACTGATCCCCCAGATTTGCCTATATGATCAATGATCATATATGCACCAACCCATCCGGCGAGCACTGTAGTGGACCTGCTTATGTGGGTGATTTTCATTATCCTCTAATTGTTTGTGCCATTGTTCACACGATAGGTTTGAGAAATTACACGCTTTGTTAATTGTGCCAGCCCAAAAGGGTCGCCCATCCTCATACATAGTATGCATTTTCCAGCCCACATGTGAGCCCATTTGCATAAACTGCTTTAAAGGGCCTTTGTTGTCCGGTGGCCAATCTTCCTTCTGTTGAGCCTCATCTCGGTGGTGGTGGGTTTGTTCTGCTCTAGTTTAAAACCTAGCTTAGTAGGGTGGAATACAGGTCGATTTCGGAACACAGACAACCTGGGTCGGTGCATCCGTTTTTCAGTTTTATGGCTTGGCTCCGGCGACACGGAAACCTTTCTTTGCCACGCTTTGTTGCATTCTCCTCGCGACCAATATATTTGCATTGGCCAACAATAAAAACTCAAGTACCACCGCATTGTTGCCATCTTGTTTGCCTAACGCCGGGCGCAGACCGAACTTAAGTTTAGAGATGGGCTCAGACGGAGGCTCTCCGGGATTTGGGTTCTACTCTAGTTACCAAAGTGCCTTAAATAAATCTGCATAGAAAAAATAATAAGGATCTGTTGTACGCGATCTTAATAAGTATTTCTTAATTGAACAAAAGGGTTGGCATAAACAAAAAAAATATACCTATTTTGAAATCGATGTGTATGAGTTAATGTTTTAAGAATATATTTTTTGTATATGTTTATTATTGTTAAATTATGCATGTTCTTATAACATAAAATATTTGTCTTCGTTAAAGAAAATATTTCCTTTGAACACCTGAATACTATCCCCAAAATTCTCATCCCTTACAGAACCAAGTCTCAATTCGAAGTGCCAGCCACGCGTGCGCTGTGTAAAATGCTTTTCCAACTCATTAGCACCGCCAGTGCCAGTTCCCCCTAATAACTAATTAACTTTCGTTTAGGAAACAATTTCCCCCTTTTTTTTGTTTCGAGTTCCCCAAATTCGTGTTTACACAACAAAAATGCTGCTCGACAAAGTGTATCTAATTTCATAACATAACAGAAAGAGGCAACTTGCAACGGCGAGGCAACAAATGTGGCAGCGTAAAAAGCAACAGCCATAGTGCATTAATTAACCGGGGGACCTGCGACATCTGCCGTGGATGGATGGGGTTTTTGGTTTTCGGTTCAGGTTCTGGGGGTGAGGCGGATGAGGGAAGTACAGCCATTTAATGAGGCATTCATTGCACTCACAACCTTGCGCCTGTCAACACACGCACTCGCACACACGGCCGACATCTGTCACCCGTTTTAGCCAGGGATCCCCTATAAAACCGCAGGCCAATAGATCCGAACCGATCCCCAGAGGCATCGAACGACAGTCAGACAAACGGCAACAATTTCAAATCGATTTGGTACACCAAAAGAAAATTATTTACAATATTCATTTACATCTGAATATTTCTGAACACTAATAATATCAGGAGTTACGTAGATTTTATATTAAAAGAATGGAAACCATTTTATAAATTAATTATTTAATTAATTAAATTTTTTTTTTGAAATATTTTTGGTTTATTGTACAATTTAGAATCATAGCTACTATTAAAAAATGTTTGGAAAAATGCTTCTCAAAAAATAATAATTTCTCTAAGGGTCCAACAGTAAGATGTCAAAAATATATTTTTCGTTATTCATGTACTTCCAATATAGGTCCGATTTCTAGGTTTTCCTTTGAAAATTTACATACAATTTTTTTTAGATTAAAACCTACTTTTAGTTTAACATGTAGACGAGAAATATTATCTTTAATTAGAATGGAGAATATTATCTTTAAATCTATTGTTTCTCCCAGTGTGGTAAATTGATTCGACCGTGTTTGTTTTTCCGATGGCTGGGCGGGCAGCGGTGTCTGCACCGCCCCTTTGGCCCTCGAATGCAGACTAGACGTGGGTGGTGACGCATGTCATCGTAAACTTCATCATTGGCTCCGTTCAGCCCCTGGCCAAGATCCTCCGGTTCTTCGGCCCTCCAGCTCTTCGGCAACTTACATAACGAATTGTCTATTTTCTTTGGCTTCGTCTCAGTCTCTGCCCATTTCATAAATAAGTAGCATCGCTCTCGAGATTCCAGTCTCTGGGGTAGCATCTGAGGGCTGTAACCGAATTTCATGCCTTGTCGAGCTATTTAATTGCAAACAAATTATGTTCTAGCCAGTCGCATCTCTGTGTGGCTAATGGATGCTGCGGCGGTGGTTGAGGATGAGGATGCCCTGATGATGTTGTCGAAACCCGAACGTTTATCTTGTAAATTGGTTGGGATTAATGTCTGGCGGAAGTTGTGATTTCCAGCCCCAGATCGGCCAATGATAGAGGGCCAACTGCCGGTAGTATTTTTTCCTACTTTTCGGATATATTCATTTACCTACAGCGATGGTTGGGCGTTCTGGCTTTGAAGGCTCAGCCCAGCAGGAGGATATATAATAATCTCTCTTATAAGAGAAATGAAACAAATTGATTATCTTATACTGTAGAGTAACTTTAATTGTTTCAGGTTTATTTGAACTTATTAACTAATCAGGCTATTATCTGTATAATATCAGAATGAGTACAATGCGTAAGATGTAAGCTCTTCTAAAATTAAGATTAGAACTCTCTAAGAAGTTGTAAAATTTTTTATTGTATAATTTGTACATTTCATTAAAAGTATAACACTTATTTAAATGAGTTGTATTAAGATTGCAGAGTTTTTCTTGTTATGAAATAGGATATATACATAAAATATATTTAATGAAATATATATATTTATATTTTTCGTTTCCAGGAGAAAGTTGAGTGAAGAAACCATTTTAGCTGAGTAAAACATGATCTTGAAACCCTTTTATTATAAATCAAAGTTATCTTTAACTTCCTCCCCCCAAGATGGCCGAAATGCTGAAGCCCTTGCTCCTTGTAGAGGGTTGTTCCGGTGGTTGTTCCTGCGAAGACTGCTCTACTGTGGTGGTTTCACTGCCCACATCTAGTTCCAATTCTTCAGCCCCCGACTCGTCGGAAATGATATCCGCACCGGAAATGCCGGGAGGCAGGTTCAGGCCAGGATGTAAAATGGCTGCCGGGGAATAGAGAGGTGTGGGCTGGACTGCTCCTCCATACTCATGGGGTCTCCCGAAGTAAGTGCAGGCCAGGTCCACAAGTGAGGGCCTCAGCAGGCTCTGCATATTCTGCTGGAAGTGCTGCATGAAAACGCTGGAGGCACTCCTCGCCTGGAGGGGATGGGGATGCGGATGAGGCGGTGGGGAGCCCAGAGCCAGGGAACTGGCGCCAGGCGCCGACGGATCATCCAGCGATGACGATAAGGAGCAGGCGGAGCCATTTGATCTCAGGCGCTTAATTTGCGGGCCATCCAAATCGCCGATGGTTGATGCTCCTCCTCCTCCTCCTGCTGTCTCACTGCCCTTCGCCGGCGACATGTCAGACTCGGATTGGGATTGAGAATGGGATAGTGACTGCGATTGGGACTGCGATTGATCTTGATCCTCGCCAGTTGGCGATGAAGACATCTTCCTTTTGCAGCGCGATTGTCCCGTTTCGCGGAAGCCCTTGGCAAACGGATTGTTGTCGATCTTCAGCTTGGTGATGCGATCGTTCTGCGGAAGAGAAGACGAGCGTGAAATATGACGATTGCCAGCATAATCTTGAGCAACGTGGAGAGGACCCATCGCATAAGTCACTGGCGTCCAGTAGCCACTGGCGTTAAGTAACATGGCCACTTGACACCAGACCGGGTTTCCAGTTCTCAGTTCCACTCCAGATGACTTGACAACTTTGTGATCTTTCGGATTTCTCAACTCGAATCTGGGATCTCGGCGATCTTGCTAATTAGAGGCAGACTGGCGTCGGCTGTCAATGGGCCCAGACCTAGACAAAAACACAGCGAGGCGCTCAAATTTACAAGGATGTGGCTATCCAACTTCCTAAAACAACAATCCTACCCGCTGACTTTCTGCCTGCTGATCTCGGATCTCGCATTTCGGATCTCGGATCTTGAATCTTGCATCTCGGAGGCGTTCCATGCTAATTCGAAACGTTGACCAAGCTACCCACGGCGTGAGCGATCGCCGCTCGTTTGCCCAAAATTAACCAATTAGTGTGATCGTTCCCAGTGTCTGGGCCATCGTGCTCAATGAATTGGCAAAAAGTGCGCACAAGAAAGGAAGGCTAGCTGCGAGTCCGAGGACACATGACTCGAATACTCTTGGTGAAACATTTTTCCAAAACACGTAGTTGTGCGATTCTAAAGAGCCTTGAAAGTGTCTGTTCAGAGCTTGTTAATGAAACAATTTGGGATATCATGTTTTGATTTTGAACATGGTTTTTATGGTTCGGAAATGTTTTTTAAATAGCTAAACAAATTAATAGTGTTGTACATACCTAGCATTATTTTATACTATGTGATAGGATAGAACTTTTAGAGACTTCAAGTGAGAAAAGTTCCCTAATGGGTGCACAAAGATTCCCCTCAAGTTATCACAGCCAAAGTTAGGGTATGGAAAGTGGGTTTGCAGATGGCACCACTTACCTGGTAGGCTGTCACGGCCACGAACTCGGTCTCGGCGAACACAAAGGCCTGCTGTGGGGCCCAGGGAATCTGCGCCAGATCAGCGGTGCGTATGACGTGCAGACGCGGCTGATACTTGTGCATGCTGGCCAGGACGATCTGTGGATTGGGATTGGGATAGCGAAAGGTTGGATAGGGTTGGGATCAGTAACCGGAGACGACTTCAAAGCTTTGTCCGCACTTACATGGCCGCTGTTGTCCAGCGTGTTATTGGTCAGCTTGACCTTGTTGAAGAGTATGGGCTGCGCCTGCCAATGAGCACCTGTGGCCGGGCTGTCCGGATGCAGGTACATCCGCTGCGGACTCTGGGGCTCGGCTCCTCCGGCCGGAACCCACTGTGATCCGGAGAACTTGTAGCGACAGTCGCCAATGGGCACCATCTCCAGGAGCACACAGTAGTTGCTCTCGTCCTCCAGACCGGAAACACTCAGTCGCATCGAGGGGAACATCCGTCTGTTTTGGGTGAAAACAAGAGGCATATCTTTTATCAGTTTGATGGTTCCATAAAATTACGTATCAAAATCAAATATTATTATTAACTTATGGCCTACACTTCCGTTTAAATGAATTAGTGTAATAGTCGTATGTATCAATAACCATATACAGAATTATATATTCCAGCATCAAAAAAATTATGTGTGATCATATCAAAACAAATTATAAATTCCAACATTTAAGTAATTATGTGTTATCACATCGCTAAATCAGAAAAAAAGATGCATATCTATACTGTATTATTAAATAGAAATGTTAACATAACATTATAATTATGAGCTGTCCATATATTGCATCATTAGAGTTTTTATTTTATAACGTTATAATTGAGGTGAAAATAAAAACTGTCTGTTGTAAGTAATTATACTGATTATATGTATTTGGTATGGCTACTTAGAAATAGAATGGATATCAACATTTTTAGGTTATATAAACGATTTTTTAATGTATAATATTAAGATTTTTAAATATTAGATAAAGAATATATGGTCTCGAACAAATACTGAATCGTTGTGAAATTGTTTCTCTTAAGAATGTTTGTGTGTCAGATAAGTGGGGGAACTCCAGGAAAATGCCTGGAAAATCGTAGAGCCTTTGTTTACCGAGCAAACTCAAATATAGTCATGCTAGATCGACAAAAGGAGCCCATGCCCGAGCCTGCGTGGGCGTTACAAATATTTAATTGTGAGATTTCCCTTCCATGCGCCATGTAATTAGGCCTGCTCAAATAGAGATTGCCTGGAGGATGGAGTAGGGCATTGGGCTCTTTGGCTGTGCTAACAAGGATGCGAGGCCCTGACCCTCGCCTCCAACTCCACGACGTTGCCGCAGGAACAGCAGGTGGCCACGGTTCTTGGCGCCAGCCCGAAAAATGTTTGCCCTTCGCCTCCGAAACTGGATGCCTCGTCCAATCGTCCACTCATCCTCATTCTCGAGTGGTTTCTTGTTTTTGGCAATGATTTCGTGTTTCTCCGGACCGATGATTAATTAATTGAACTCCGCTGCGCTTTGGTTTTGCTAACGTTTAATTTGATTCTGGCTCTGGGACTGCCTTTCAGCTCTGTTGAATTCCATTAGACCACGGAACCGAAATATTTCGACATTTGTGCGGTTTAGAATTTCGTTTTCAATTTGGCTCTGCGCTCACTTTTTGTTGATTGTTTTCCTTTTTTTTGGCAAGAGTCCGCTGTCTGGTTTCGGACAAACGATTTGTTAAGATCGAAATCTTTGGCGCGTCTGCGCATAATTATCAGGAGAATTTTGGCTGCGAGTGAGGAGCATGCTGACCATTTGACGGCATTCGATTTGGCGCTTGACGCTTGGCAGGTGCAGGGACACTGTCCAGGAATGCGTCCCGGGGATCGGAACCCAGTCCCTCGAAGGGTACTGTGGAAACAACCACTCACCCTTCTCGCCCTGTTGCTCTAATGTTTACCCTACAATTCCACATACGTGCCTGCTTGATATTCCAAAAATTAGCATTTTTTGGAAATTAAAAGTCAGGCTATTTATTAATTGACAGCTATAAAACTAGAAACAGCAATATAAATTTCTAACTCTTTATGTTATTTATGTGTCTTTGTACATTTAAAGGGGTTACAGAGGAACATTTCGAGTTGTATTTATATTATTAACTTGATATTTTAAAGGGAATTATATTTTACCAATCATAGGGGTATTACTAATTACTAAAAAAAAAGAATCAATTAATATCAGTACTTTTAAAACTAATAAGTTCTTTACTAATCAAATGTCTTAAATAAAGTTAATCAATCTCATTCTTAAAGTGTTTGATTTGAGACCGCTTCCAAAGAGGCAACCGACATTTCCTGGCTATCTTTGCGCTTCTCATCGAGGTTACCGTGTCGCTTCTGTTTGCCGCCTCTCTTGGCGCTTCTCATTTAGCCCAGTTGGTGAGCCGAGCCCACACACTCTAAAAGCTTCGTGACAAAGTCATTTCATTTGCCGCCATCGGGCATTAACCGATACGCTTTGTTCTATCTAACTTTAATGGCCGTCTGCGCTTTTACCACCCAAAAAGATGGAACGGTTCAAGTGGCAAACGGAGCCCAGACAAGCAACTAATTAGTTTTTATGAGCGCCACTTGGCATAGGCATAGGTTTGGGTTTTCAGTTTGGACTTGGGATCGGAACCGAATGGTAAATAAAACGGGGTTCGGGATGCGATTGGACAGACGGTGGCACTCTGGCGCCTAATCATTAAAAATTCAAATCGATTGCATTGCGACCTCTCCACCGAGGCCCATAAAACATTTTTGATGAGCATAAAAAGTATTTAATACGCAGACTTTATGAATAATTCATGGCATATATAAAACGAAAGGGTTGTTCGAGACTCGAAGATAGTTTTTGGCTGCATTTTGGAGACCAAAAGTTTATGTTAATGCGTTGGGAACCCTTTCGATGGGATCGAACAGGGACCAAGTGTGAAATTGCTCGTTTCTGTCGACAAGCTGTGGTCACTGACTGTCACTGTCACTGCTTAAAGATGCAGAATACAGATATACAGATACAGATACAATGCAGAACGCGAAGATATTTCGGGGTCTCAGGTTGTTGTCTGCAGACAGGCGCCACAATAAAAACGCTAAGAGCTACAAAGATGACGACAAAGTATCCTTGACGCGAAGATTTATGCCATCGGAGGTATAAAGGAGCGCCGACTTCGGCCGACAGGACGTCCCACTGAGCTCGGCGTTCGGCCGGCCTACAATAAATTACGATGACGCCACTTTACGCACATTCGAACAAGTGCCGGACACTTTTAGGTAGTCGTAATCGTAGCCTCCTGGGCCGGGCTGGGAGTCGTGCATCTGATAGATACACGATAAACTAGCCCCGGGCGATCGCGCTATGCCTTTGATTCGAATATCTTCAATCTGGGCACGCAAAGTGCCGGCGAACTTGTCCGCTTTACGCCTCGCGCGATAGTACATTATGCATTTGGGCAGGTACGCTTTTCCTGCTTTTCTATTTTTCATTCTCCATTTCCCATTTTCACATCCTGCCAGTGTATGTAAGTGCATCCTTCCGCCTTGTTTGCCTGTGAAAATTGTTGTCGCGACGCCGCTGTAAACAATTTGCAGGCGCCTGCGCTCTAATGAGCGTTTAACAGCAGCATTTCTTCGATCCAGGACTGGACAGGATCGGAATCGGGATCGGTATAGGGATCGGCATGGCATAGGATATGGTATTAAGTGCCCGCGCCCGTTGGCTGCTTTATTTTTCTTTGCCCTGCGTCTGGGGTATTAGTTTTCACGTTCGTGCTAATGCATCGCCCGATCTATGTTTGTTCCCGATCTCAGAAGTCTGTATTTCGAGATTCCCCCCACACTTTCGTCATCGAAAGATCTCTTTTGAAACCTACCTGCCGCTCTTGGTGATGATCATTTCCGTGCCAATTTGGTGGAACTGCTTCCAAAGATCGTCGTTTTGAAGGGTCATCTCCACGCCGGGGAGGGTGACTCGGGGTGGCATGATCACGTGCCGAGGCATAGGAATTGGTAGCATCGGAGGAAAAGGATCTGAAAGTAGTATGAAAGGGGTTGAAAATGGGTTCGAAAGATCAAAACAGCTTGGGGAACCTATCAAGTCATACAATTATGTATTAAATAAGGGGTATGATCAAAAAAGTATAAGATATGCTATAATATATGAGATGGATTTAATATAATCTATATAATTAATATAATCTATATATTAGTAGAAGTAGTACTCAAAGTAAAGATGAACTATAAATATTATAAAATCTGCAAATCCTAATAAAGTACAATAAGATGGTCTCATGATAAAAATAAATTAATTTTAATATGTTAATGGTTGCCATTCGTTTTTTAATGTGGGTCTGATTTAAAGGGATCTTTAACAGATGTCTGATATTTCTGGCTTATCACAAGACAAAGACAAAGATGGGTGTTATATGGGTGCTCATTTGCAGAACAAGGAACATTGATTCTCTGCCGATTGTCAAACTTAATGCCCTCCATTAGGGATCAACAAAATATGGTGCCGTACTTTGGCAAACGTGATTACATACAAAGATATTGTTTTAGGGGTACGCTGATCCTGAACCCGCTGTTTAACGATCGTCGGCAACAAGCAAAATGCATTTGATATCAAGTTTCCCGATCGGCGATCACTTTCCCACATTACTCAGCTTTATGATCGGCTGGCCATAAACACTGGCACTCGCACACACCCCGCTGATCTTAACTTAACTTTGGGCCAGGTACAGAAAAAGAAAGAGCTCGCCAAAAGTTACGGCCATTAATGCTAATGATGCTTAACAGCTTTGCCGCACGCTAAACGGGGCGGATGAGTGATTTGGGTGATTTTGATGCTACGATGTTTGAAACCTTTCAAGGGTAAAAGCTTACCTGGTATGCGCTGCATAATCTGCTGGCGATAGATCTCATGCGCTATATGCTGCTGCATGCGCAGATCGACCAGCTCGTTCATGGTGATCATGATGAAGGTGATGGGGGTCCTAAAATAGTTATACCTAATATATAATCGAAACTCTTTTGTTTGCCGATTGTCACTTGCACAATTGTTCGAAAACACACACAAAGCACTGTCACATTTGGCGGGGTCTATTTCTTATTTTTGAGTCGGGGCTTATACTTTTTTAGGTGAGCACGAGATACCGCCGATTAGCGTCAATTATGCAAATCACCGCACAAAAGTCTTTCATATGAGTGGGTGTTAATTTGATTACGCCGGTGTCGTATGTCGTATATCGCATGTGGGTTACAATTCCGCCATATCATATATACAAATAGAGAGTGTGTCTTAGCCGACGGTCGTGTCTTGAGCTCGCCAAGTTCGCATTTCAACTGAGCAAGTTCCGTTGGCGGAGGAGATCTCTCGATCGAGCTGAAAGAAACGAGCTTGACTCGTTTGGGTCTTGAGCCATGGATCGAGATTACCTGCTGCGGTCCATCCATTGGCTGTGGATCGGCTGAGAGAGCGGGAAATAGCCGTCCCGCTCTGGTTTGGCACCTCCATTTTGAAAAATCCCTCGATTTTCCAACTGCCAGAGCTCCGCCCACGAAATGCTCGCTATCTCTGTCTGCCCGATAATTCCGGCTCGCTCTAATTGCGTTTAATTCTGATGTGCGAAGTTGCACAGTCAGCGGAGCAACAGCAACAGCAGCAACAGCAACACAGCACAGCAGCAACATGTTGCTGCGGGGAATATTCCATCTGTGTGTGCTGCCTTTTAATTATGATCATGATGATTGAAATTGTTTTTTCCTCGTCTCCTCTTTTTGGCATCTTTTTGTGTATTTATGCTTTGCCCATTTGTAGCCGCCTGCCATCATGGTGGTCCTCTTGTCTGGCCTCTCGAGCGGTGTGTGTTTGCCGTTTTGCTGCTCATTTATTTCATTTTACCCGGCTCTACAGTGGAAAGAATTTATTGATATTGTTTGATCAGCAATTTGATGGGGGTTTTATTGAAAAATATTGACTTTAAGTGTGTATTTCGCAGTATAGTCCAAGGTATTGATCTTAATAACAGTTAAAAAGACCCATCACTTACTTTAATGTATTCACTTTTATCACGTTTGCAGAATACTTTTGTTCGAGGACTATGGTTTTGATAATAAATTAACGAGTTTTTCAGTAAATATAAACTTGTTCTGGAAAATTTAGCAAGGTTTTCTCACAATAAAACAATATGGTAAGTTTATTAATGTTATTAAGGATAGTTACAACGGGTTGAGCTTATTATGATACAATAAATGATAAAAATATCTAACTTGGGATCATATTTTTTTAGGATAATAAAAATTATATGATAAATAATTATATATATGTTTTTAGCTAGAAGATATGTAAAAAGGTCCAAAACGCTTCAATATATGCAACCCCCAACGTAATCTTCGGTATATCCAAAAACTTTTTGATGCAGTCCATAAAATCTGATGTCTATTTACCACCCTTATCTCTAGTTTTAATTTAAAATGGATATGTTTTTTCCTGTGTAATTGTTTGATATTTTGACTTTGACGCTGCGTCATTCAGGCATTGATATGGCGGCATCCGAAGGCCCGATATGGTCTCTACTTGCTGGTCTACCAATATCTTTAGGCTATTGCCATGTATTTATTGCTGGCGATGCAGGTGGCGGCTGGTTCTCGATCTGACCTTTTTGGGAGCTTGGCAAAACATTTGTTTCAAACGACGGAAACGCGTGTCCGGAGCTGCTTGCTTACAAATTCGAAACTAATTAAAATGCCCAATGAAGTGGCCTGAACTTTGACTGAACTTATACATAAAGCATACGCCATGTGGGCCAATGATGGCGAAACGTGCTCGGAGTTTTTGGGTCTCGTGTTTGCCTCCAGTGCCACTTCCTTTCGAGATTAAACCAATCGCCTTGGCTTATCTGGAAAGCATTACTGCGAAATTCCTGAGGCTCCCGATGGGTAAATATGTAGTTAGCCGGGCTAATTTACACAGCACTTTGCTGGCCTGACACATCCACGCATTATTTTCATACAGCTCGAGTTGTCGGTGATAAGCGTCTGAAATTAATTTACTATTAGCAGCCAGGCATTTCGCCCAAATTGCGTTCTGGCCATGTGCCGTCTGCGCGTAATTTATGCCTCGCGTTTTCACATTTGGTCGCGCACACTTCCGGTTGGGTTTTCGTTTTCCGCTGCCTTTCGGCTCGACCAGGTTCGTCAATCCATTACACATCGATCCTTCGGGGCCTGCCTGCTCTTTGAGACCCTGCCAATAGCTGTGCAATTTGTCAGCACCCAGCTAATTGGTGCTGCCCCTGAGCCTGCTGTTTGACTAATGTATTTCGGTTTACTTCCGTTCGGTTCCGGATAAATGGGCCAACAGGTAGCCTAGGGTACACTCGAAAAAAGGTTTTTTGAAAATGCGAGGGAAGACTAGGCATTCAAAAGGTACCTTTGAAATACAAATTTTCAATGTAGCTGTTTTATTTATAAACTTTTTCATAGAATATGAACATTTTTTTAAATTTATTAACTAAGTTAAGAGAGTTAATAACTAAAGTATAATAAACTAAAAAAATCTTTAAGTAAATTTGAAGAATTTTTCTTATGAGTTTTGCACGTTTTTCAGTTGATAAACTTCAAAAATATCTTATAGTTATCTATAAGTTTGAGCAGAAACAGGAAGTTGTAGTATAAACGTTTTTCAAGATGGTCTCGTTTAGGACAACACAATAATATAAATATTTATTTTGAATTTGGTTATATTAGGAAAGGCACCTCTCTTTCTTTTTAGTACTATCGCTATTATTTTCCTCAGTGTAAATGCATTCCAGCCGCTTGAATCAGCATAGAGGATATCTGTGTGGGTTGTCTTTCGCTTTATCAATGTTTTGGGTATACATTTCAGCGATATACATTTCAGACTTCAGTGATTAAGTGAATCGGGGAGGACAAACAGATTAAGCAGCCTTGAACCAGGGTCCGTCCTCCAACGGCATTGTAAGAGCTACTCGCCGGGGTCTTTCCACCCAGTTGCGAAATGAACCCAATATATGATATATGGGTATACCAACGATATTTTGGGGGGAAGGTGGGAGCACGAGCCCTCGGCTTCTTTCTCGCACGGCTGCTCAAATTAAAATTAGCATAAATCGTCTATGAAAGCAATGTAATTTTCCATGGAAAATATGCCCTCCACTCATGTCAAGCAGCCATCGCAATTTATTGATTTAAACTTTTAGCTCGGATTCGTTTGAACAAGCCCTAGCGCCTTTATAGACGACTATTAACGGCCCGGCACTTGATCTCCAATTGTGGATGGTCGGGTATTTGTATTTGCGTACCCGTGAGCAGATCCATTGTTGCAACATGACCATCATCTCGTCTCTTGGTGAGGCATGCAAATCTACTTTTGTATGCAATTTAAGTGACTCAATCAATATGAACTGCGGAGGGATCCGATGAACCGATGACCAAGGAGGCATCATAATCATCTGTGTCCATGGCGGACCACTTGACAGCTTTCAATGGGCGCGGGACCAGACCTACTCCAATAATTGAGAGGTGTTTAATCGTGTGTTTCGTTTTTGTTTTTCTGCACATTCACGACCCCCGAGATTTAGGCCTTTCGTTACGTTCGGTTTCCACCAACTACAGCTACCATTCCACTCGATCGCTGTTTGCTCTCAAATTATCATAAGCAAATATGGTACAAGATGCCAGACGACGAGACTGGCGATTCGTATTCGTATTGGGATTCATATTCATATTCAGATTCAGGTCTAGAGACAGACCCAGTACGCCCCCCTTCCACTCCCCTTAAATGTTTCTTACTACTTTACGCTTTTCAGAGCCCCAACTTCAAACTGAAGTGCTAAAGTTGCTGGCGACGCGACGCTCTGAGAGGCGCTTCTGTTGTGTAGACCCTTGAGTTATTACAATATTATATTCAAATTTCAAGTGCTACTGGCTCGCCGGTCCTCCACTCCGCCATCGTTTCTTCTGTGATCTTAGTACTATCTGGGTATCTGGGTATCTGGGTGTTGGGTTGAAGAATCTGCATATTTTTCGTGGCATCTTATTGGTTTGTTTACTTTCGAAGCTCATTGAGTTGGCACTTGGCGGAGATGCGTGTTAATGGCATGTTTAATAACAAGATCATGGATTCAAATTTGGCGTTCGAAAACAATTGCAAAATATGGTATATGCCCAGTAAAAGGGAATTACCAGGTGTATGTGATAAGTCCCAGGGTAAAATTTAAATGGCTTTTGGAATTATAAAACCAATTCGGTAAAAATAGCTGTATTCCACCTGAATTTTATTTAATTTAATGCATAGATTAATAAATGTATACTTCGTTGTGGATTTTATTGCAAACTATAAAAAATTTCTAGTAAAATCATCATTTAGTTGAGTGGCATTGTTCATATGTAAAATAAAAAACATGTTATTTAATATATTTCATTCATATTTAAAAATGTTCAGATATTTTTACATGGATTTTAGTGCTTTACATTAATATCTTTTTGCAAATGACGCAAATGAGTGGATATTTCGATGAAAGAACCACTATACTTTTCAAAGAAAGACCAATTTGAGGCTGCATTTCATTATCAAAATGGTAAAATGGTGGCGAGATGTGGCCAACACCAGAGCCAGAAAAGTTCAACGGCCAACCGGTGACATCAAAGACGAGGCCGAGAGCATAAGATCGCCGACAGGCAGGCAAAACAAAAGGAGAAAACCCCGAGCCAAGTCCAGTAGTCCACGTCGACGGGGAGAAGAAACCATTTCGCTGATAAAAACATCCATTATGCGTAACAATTTGACGGCTTCTTTGGCTACCGCTTGCCACAGCCTTATTTCGAGGCGGCATTTGGCTTTCGCCTTTGATTGAGTGGCCAAGATGGCTTGGCCTAGCCGCGGGGTAATTGTTGTCGCTAGGCGGATCGACTGGACTGGACCACGGGATGGTATGGGATGGATAGAATGGTATGGGATCGGAGTGGATTGGATCGGATCGGAACGTAGCGGATCAGGCCTGAGTGCGCAATTACAATGGCCGTGATAAAGAAGCCAACAGAGAGCGGCAAAGGGCGAGTCTTGCGCCAACGTCAAAGAGGAAATGCCTTAATCTCGTGACAACAACAGGCCTTCGTCGTCGCTCTTCCTGCCCCTCCCTTATCTAAGCAACCTACACGGTAAAAAATCGGGTGCCATACTGTAAAAGTTATATAAAGATGTAGTACCAATGTAAAGTAGTTACTTCGATTATTATTATGTTGTCATATTATGTAATTCATTTGTGTTTTCTACTTCTGTTTATAATGAAAAGGTTAATAGGTTGTTTTCGGCTTTAATAAAAGAAGCGGATGTAATTTTAAGATATAATACATAGATACAATACAATTTAAAGTTGGAAGGTATGTTGTCTTTTTGTAAAGTCAAATTTAGTTACTTATATGTGTTTTATTGTTAATGCATCTTCATTGAGCTCTGTCTATATTCCTTTGCCCTAATAATATTTATTCTTCTTTATATGCATGTGATGTTCTTGATTTTTCCCAGTGCATCAGCAACCTGGCGAGTGTTGGAAATGTATTTGTTTGCTGGCCCATAACGTCATAAGGCCAAATATAGCGGGCAGAGTCGCGTTGTCTCCGATTCCAATTCGTATTTGAGCATCGCATAGCTCCACGAAGGTGCTCTGTCTACGTGGTTCTGGATCTGGCCATAGCCATGTCTATCTGGGCCCCATATCTCCGGCTGTCTGTGTACTCATGGCACCAGTCATAGTTGACACTTTATGAGCTACCTCCCCAACCCATCCCAACCCGGCGTTGATTGCGCTCTAATGGCGTCAAGACTTTCGCTTTTATGGTGCCTGCACTTCCACGAATCCTAATCAGCGGCGGAGCACTTGCCGCGACATCATTTAAATGTGAAGTTCTTGGGTATGTGTACACCATGTAGTTGCAATGGAATTATCGGGAAATTCTAAGGCGTAT